ATCAACGTTGCGGGATGCTCCTCGCCGAGCACCCGCTTGCTCGTCTCCACCACCGCAACCTGCAGCCCCTCCGCCTCTGTCCACCGGCCCTGGTTCCTGTACGTCGAGGCGAGGTTCGCCATGCTCGTCAACGTTGCGGGATGCTCCTCGCCGAGCACCCGCTTGCTCGTCTCCACCACCGCAACCTGCAGCCCCTCCGCCTCTGTCCACCGGCCCTGCTTCGAGTATGTCGAGGCGAGGTTCGCCATGCTCGTTAGCGTGGTGGGATGCTCCTCTCCAAGCACACGCTTGCTCGTCTCCATCGCCTCCATCCCTACTTTCTCCGCATCTGACAACCATTCATGATGAAGATATATAAGGTTGAACCTGACAGCAATCTCAGCATTCAGTCCACTTTCCAAAAGCTCAAAAAGTCGATGCAGTTCCTGCATATGTGGTAGATGCATTCGCGTGTACGCCAAAGCGTCCGGTGTTTCCAAATCATGAAACCCAGAACTGGATAGGTAGAGAATAAGTGCCGCATGGGAGGGATGTTGCGCACTGGTAAGTGCATGGTGTCGGCTCCAATCGTGAATGAGCCGATGGAATGAAATGTTTTGTTCGGGAGTGATTTCGACAAGAGAGTATGAACAAAGGCTGGCAGTGACTCTATGGAAGGCATCCGACATTTCAGCAGATGGCTCGATGAATGGGCGCAAGAAATCTTGAACCCAAGATATGGTGGAATCGGAGAGAGTTGGTGTATCAGGCATGTAATCCGAAGAGCTTTTGGCTGCATTGACGAACATGGATTCTGAGATGTTTTTATGGTGGAGAAATGAGCAGATAAAGAGGAATGTGATGGCTCCAGGATGTGTACTATTGAGTTGTTCGAGGCTAATATTCCAGGTACTATACACGGTTTGTTTGTAGTTGTCCGGCTGGTTGATACCTCGCGACCTTTCCAAGAGGTTACGGAGATCGGAGCGCAACAGGGTTAGGTAGCGTTCGAGCGAATAGGTCCTATTGACCTGAAGGTATGCGGCGGCCTGGATAATACCGAGAGCAAGAAAATCCAACTCCTGCATGCATATCGAACGTGTCACTTTTTTATGACATACATTAGCGGTGAATAACTGTGTACCTCGACAAGTTCCGTAACAAGTTTGCTAGTCTTGATGTCCTCGGGGTTCGCGATGCGAGAGCGACGAACAAATAGTGCCTTCGCGTCCGCCTCCGACATCCTCGAGATCTTGCATGACTTGTGGTAGAAGCAGAGCTGCTCGTTCCGGGTCGTGATGATAATGTTGCCGTGCAAGCACTGAGGAATAAACGGCTCCAGATCCAGTGTTGCATCATCGGCGTTGTCCAGGACGAGAAGCCACGGCTCCCGGGTACGGACCAACCAGTCGATGGTATCCTGCCGCTTCTCTCCGATCTTCTTATCGAGCGCGATATTAGCAAGGTCGACATCGAGCGTGGCTTTCGTGCTCGCGTCGACGTAGAACACCTCCGAGAATCTGAGAGAGGTTATCGACGAGATATGTTGGTATCCCACCCAATAGTCTATAGTGGATAAGCACCTTCTTGAAACTCACCTGGGTGGATGGTCATTTGTCTGCGCTTGCGAATCCGCAACAAACCGTCTCATGATCTCACTCTTTCCGCTGCCGCCCATTCCATACAAGACGAACTTGAGTTGATTATTAGTTGAGTCGTAGCAGAAGTGATCCCTCATCATGGACAAGATATCCGTCCTTCCCGTGAATACATGCGACGGCAGTGGGCAATGCTTGCGTTGGGCCTTTCTGCGTAGTTCGACTGCAGCAGAAACCTTCCCAACTGATACCACGAAAGACAATCAATAACCTCATCAGTATCAACGTAACGAAACAAACTCCTCACTCGCTTCGGAGACGCCCAGCGTTGCTCTCTGCTCGACCAAAACCTTCACCGCTTCCTCCAGGCTCGCCTTCACCGCTTCACTCCCCAGATACATCTGCGTGTGCCCCTTCACTGCACCCATCTTGTTCCACTCGTCTAGCGTGACGTCCTGCAGCCCTTGGTCAACGTTAAAACGAAAGTAGAGATTTGGGCGTGACTTGAAACGGCGCTGTAAATGTTCGTGCGTCTTCTCGGTATCCGTAGCGATTCCGGCCAAAGCCTTTGCGACGTCGATAGGGATTAGGCGTTTGATGAAATTCGGCTCGGTCATTTTATTGATCGGGAGCTGTCCCGTTCCGACACTGAGCAGACAACCTATTTGGCGATTGGGAAAGATGAGGTTTGCCTCTTGAAGAACAACGTCGCAAGGATTGTTTTCCACCACACCGCCATCTACATATGACTGTTTGATTCCGTCGACAGTGATGGCAGCACGTTTGAAGAAGGTGGGAGCCGCGGTAGTAGCACGCGCCGCCTCGATTATAGTGCATGGGATGGGAAGTTGGCGAGGTGCTTTGTAGGTGCGTATGAGCAAGGGGCGCTCTGCTTTCATATTGGACGCGAGGGCGGTGCAGACAAATCTACAGCATCGGTACTCATCGTGAACAACCTAGAGGAATGAGATGTAAGACTTTGGAACGTACGTTGAGCAGACACCATCTCCGGAACGGGAGTCCACGATTTCTACCTTAGTATCGTCGCCGTGCTCTTTGATAATAGTCTTCACAGCATCCTCCAGGTTCGATGCCTTGTACCTGCCATTAGGTGCGAGTCCGGTTTTGGTTTGCGAGAATACTTTCTTGGACAGTTTCGCGTATGCCCGGATAGCGTCGTCCACGGACATGCGAAGACGGCCAAGCATCAGAGCGATGAGGCTGTGAGTGAAGGTGGAGAGCGTAAGCGCCCAAATATCGATTTTACAGGCACAACAGAGACGCACCCTCCAGTACTCGTACCGCCGATGAGATCGAAGACCTCGCAAGGAAGAGGCTCTTTGGGCAGTTTTTTTTCGTCTTGAATCGAGATCATAATGGTCTTCAGGATATAGAGTGTCGATAATCCGCGTATACCTCCACCATCTGGACTCGTGAACCATCAATATCGCCGAGCAGATATCAGAAGCACGTGAGAACGTACCGAGTGCGAGAAGATTAAGACCCTTCTCCTCTCGTTCGTCCATGACCTTTCTATGGAGGAAGTAAAGGGATAGCGCAGTGAGACGAGAATGAGAGTCGTTGATGATGAGGGCGAAGGGCAAAGTCCTCGAGGTGCTCGGGCGCAAAGAGTTACACGGCACAGCCTCAAAACCATTTATTTATCTAAAGTTAGAACATCATCTTTGGACCCACGTCTTTGCCCTTCCTAGACCTAAAACCTCAGAAGCATAATTCCGATCCTCAGGCCGGTGCCTCTCCTCCGAGCCCCTCAAAGCCTCCATCGCGATGCATCTCCCATCCCAATCCTGTAAGTCATGGACGAGCGTGGAGATGATAGAACATTGAGGCGGAAGCGTGATATCGAAAAGGCGAGGAATACTATAATGATCGTGAACGCGAGCTTACTCTGGCTCTCTTCAGGTGAAAGAGACACGAGCACACAGTAGGGTTACTCACGAGGAATAACAACACCGCAACCCAACAAAGGACGAGTTGAGGACGAGGCCGACCACTGTCCATCCAAACACGTATCAGTCTAAACTCAAATTTGAGCACGGACAGGGAGCTGAATACACGCACCGATGAGTTGGGCGAGACTTGGTTGGAGTAGCTACTTATTGGTAATCAACGAGATGACGAAGAATTGAATAACAAAGATGACGGGAACAAAGGAGAAAAAATCCACCTAAGCGGAGCAAGGTTCGCAATACTGTTCTGGCTGAGAGTCGAAATGGATACGATGGGTCATGTCACAGTAACATGCCTCTCAGCATAAGACCTCTTCATCATTAACGCATGAAACAGCATCTATCCATTCGTACACATCAAGAGAAAGAATGCAGCTTCCTCTACGGTGTACTAATAGTTCAGCCGCCTCCTCAGATCTATGGTGTGTTTTCGAGGTCCGTTCATCCCCAGAATCTTGCGATACGAGAGAATCGTGTCCTCCTCCCATGATTCTCGGTGGCCCAATATACATGGCTTCGCGCCTAGTCTCGTCTTCTACATCCTAACATCTGTTCTACGATCTCTGCACTCTACGGTTCTGTGATAATGCCACATCCAGGGTGAAGGCTCGATAATCGAGTACTGGCCTGATATTTAGATTCGCTCCCTTGTCGAGAAACGCGACGTGATCTCTATCCTAAGAACCACGCTCAACACCACAACGCGTCGATGTCTGCTCTAGCATCTGGCCGCAGAATGAGGACGATGGCTGGATCCTCAGCGACGCAGATGGTGTCATCGCGCGTACAGGCTCGCTCGTAGTGCCACCGCCCTCGTGTAAAGTCCTCGACAGTACGTAGTCAAGCAATGGACTCAAGTAAACGTCTGGCCGTGTTGCGCGGTGCGTGGTCCGTGCGAATTGACAGAGGAACGGATACATCGCGAGTTCGACGGTTTTATCCAGCCGTTCGTCATCGACATCGATTCATCGTGGATATGATAATTCAGAATATCGTCCTGAAAATGAGCCATGGTCCAGGGTACACGGCCTCCTATTACGTACATACGCCTTTGGAGGGAGACCAAAGGGAGACGTAAACGTATCACATCGAAAAGATGAGTGGTGGGTGTAAGATTCTGATCCCGGTTAGAGCTAGAGAGAGATACGTCTATGCGATATCTATCGCGGCAGACGTCGCGAGGAAGAGATCCTCCAGTCATCCGTCATCAACATTCTGGATAATCTGATGGCCATCGACCTTAGTATGAGCCAAGGGTCACAGGAGACGGGCGACGAAAAGACGAGCGGTGGGCATAGAATAAAAATCGGGGCCAGAGATAAGGCTGGAGATGCATACATGTGTGTATGCGGTCTCTATCAGCGCTGAAGGCAACAGAGCGGGACGTTCTCCGTACGGGAGGATAGACGCAAAGAAAGAGTAAAAACTGGGGAAATGTGTCCATATGCATCTGAATTCGAGCGCCGGATGGATGTGCTGTATGTGCATGAACGCAACCGGGTAATCGGCATACATGTCCAGACTGGAACAAACAAACGACGGCAAGGTTGGGTATATGCGTCCAGACGAGATCTCTCCTGACTACTGATGGTGGTTCTATATGCACCGCATCGATTGAAGAAAGAAAGACGACGAACAAATTGTTGTCTGCCCTGACAAGGCATGGATTCGAGGCGTAGATATGTGGCGGCGATAGACCAAAGGCGGTGTCTGCGTTCAGAACATGGATATATGTTCAGGGCGCTCTGAGCATGAACGTACCACCATTTGAAGGGACCACATACCTTCGACATCCCCTTTGCAGACAACCAAAAGCGTACGGATACACCAGAAAGACGGATCAAAAGAGGTGAGAAAATGATGCACGAGTGACCATGATGCGCTAGACCGAACTGGAGCAGACCCCTGCGCTATTTTTGAACGCGTTGGAGAAAACTTCTACCGCCGAGGCTGAGCAAGAAGAAAGAACGACGTCGGGTTGTATAAGCCAGGCGTAGCACGGGGTGAGCCTCGTAGATGAAGTCGTTAGCTAGCTGACGACGAGCGAGCTCGAGAGGAGCAGCGATGGCGGTAAAATTGCCAATTGATCGGGATGGAAGAGAAGAGCCGAATTGTGACGTATGTAGAGGCTTGCCAGTGGGCGCGAGAGAGCAGGGGAAATGAAGTGTCTGGGCGAGCGTGTGGCGTGAGGTGAGGCTAGGGAGGCCAGTCGTAGGGAGAGCAAGGGCAGAATGAGCTCGGCGAGCTGCTGTTGAAGGTTATGTACGTGTCAGTCCAAGAATAAATTACTTATGTGAATGAAAGAACGTGATTTGGTTGAAGAGACCAAGGAATGTACGAAAGCGTCGCACGTAAAAAAACAATTGTAATAAAAGAACGCACCGAGTGATGACCGACCCATCCAGACTGGACAAGTTTCTCCATGTCTCGCAGAACGGACAGCACATATCCACGAATCTCTGCGCCCATATCCTCAGTCGCCGTTCTTTCCATTCCACCATCCGTTTCCTTCAACTCGAAACCCGAAGTCATCCTTCGTCTACTATGGCTTCAGCTCGCCGTCCGAGCGAGGAAGTAGGACTAGTCGTTCGAAGGGTTGAATTGGACTGGGTGTAGGGCCCAAGACTCGATTATGAGCGGCTGACGTGGGGCTAGCCACGGGAGTTGTCTGTTCTTCGTGAATGCCTTCAGAGGGGATGTGCAAAAGTAGGAGGCATGTCGAGTATGGTTCCTCGAGTCCAAGAGATGCCGGAGGGTGGGAGGAGATGCCGAGTGGTAGAATTTGTTAGTATTTTAGCCAGCGATGCGGTAAGGTATATGTTCATATCGGATGGAGAGCATGTTAGAGCGACCATCATGCATCATGCGTCGTCCTTGATGAAGGGAATATGAGGGTCTGGCGAGGTGTATCCTTGCTGAACCACAATCTTATCTTATCTTATCGCTTTTTGGTCCATCTTCTGCTTGCGTCATCGCACTTCTGTTTTTTAAACCACCACCAAGCTCTGCTAACTAGCTATGGTCTGCAACGGTTTCCCATCGAACGTCCCATTCTCTTGTGGAAATTTGCTGATGCTTTGACAATGTTTTGTTTCTAGGAAGCGTACGGCTGCCGCTGGCTATGTGGATCGTCCTAATCTTCGCTATTCCTTGCTCTGCCCCTCATCGCTTCGACTTTCTCGTCTGTCTCGTCCTCTCGCCCATCAGAAGGTCGCCGCCCACAGACATCTCATAATAGTCGAACCTGATGCTTAGTCGTTCGACTCACACACTCTGGTTGGAGACGCCTATCCACTCTGTTCTGAATGCTTGCTCCGCTCTCAGTCGGAGCCACTATTATTACTAGAGATTCATTCAGGTTTGTAATCACCTCCTAAGCGTGAAATCCTTGGACAAGGTCCACTCGTAATCCAAATTGGCCGATTATAACTCTCTGACGATTTCTACGAGCATAGCGGATACTTTGTCGATTCAGGGCTCACGTTGTTTCCGATTATACGTGGATTCTCACTAGTACATTGCCTAGCGCCGTGGTTTTGTGGAGGTATATCGAGTCAGGCCTTTGTTACCCGTGATAGGGATAGTAGTTGGGTGTCGCCCTTCGTTTCCGCAGAAATACAATGTACGAGGAAACGTTTCCCACCCTCCACAGGTGTGGCCCTGCACCTTGATCCGAACACTGCGCTAGGTTACCGACCGATACTTTTATTGACATTGAGCCCGTACTACAATTTCGATTGTCGGGACGAATAATTTCTGTATATATGGTCAAGAATCCTGAAGATTGTGCCGTTAAGCCTACAACGGTGTTCCATTTCCCCTCCTTTACCTTTCCATCATGCCGTAAGAGCTGTTTATATTTCATCTCTTATCTCTCGTTCCCGTATCTGCTACGGACTCATTTCTAGAGCATATGTTTGTTCTTCTCTGTAGATCTACCTTGGTGTACCAACTCAGTCTGCCTGTATCGTGAATGGTTTACTAACGATGCCGAAGAACTAGTACTCTGCTTGAGGCAGAAAGTTTCATCGTTGCTGAACCAGGTGACAATGTGCATATTCCGCTTGTTAACCATATAAGTCCTTCTTATGCCGACATAAATACGATAGATCCGGTGATGGAGCTATCGAGTTACCGATCGACGAAAACATGAGTCTATTCATCCACTCAGTATCGCATATACATAGCACAAAAGCTTTTATTTGAGGGTCAGTATAATACGGAAAGCGATTTACAACGTCTATATAACGGGAGGGATGCCGGTCCTACTTCGACGGATAGTAAGTAAATAAAATGATGGCCAGGAGAAAGACAGAGCAGACAAGTACATCGATACATTTCACTTCAATACACTTCCTACGGCGTTGACTGCTGAATCGAACGGTCTTCCTCTGTCGCCTGTCAATGCCTATATCCATCCTGGAGCATCACCACAACATCCAATGCCTACCAAGAATATATCCACCCCACGCTCCAATCGACGCACCCATCATCGTCCCAATCGTCTCATCCACCGTCCACACCTTACTGTCCTCTGAGCCTCCATAGCGTGCCACAGCAGGTCCTGGACGGTAGTAATACGGGTCGTTATAGAAGTTGAAACCCATGGCGCGGTAATAAGCGTATGGATCGTAGGCGTTGCGATCATGAGAGCTAGCTGTGAAGGCAGGGGGAGTGAGGAACTGATAGGCTCGGGTAGGCAATGCATAGATGAACGATTTAGCAGACTGGGTGTACCTCTACTGGTAGGTTTCCTGAGCCTAATTGCGAGGAGGAAGCCTCTCCAGATCGGAGACAGGAGTTTATTGGTACAAACGTAGAGAGGCTTGGCTCCGAAACAGAGAAGAGGTATGCTACACAGGTAGGGATGGTTGATGGCTGAATGCGAAGTGATAGAAAGAGTTAACACATGAAGACAATGCAAGTGAACCTCTGCACTGATCAGGGTAGAGTAGATAGACAAACGATTGAAATCGATGGAGCGACGTACTGAGTAAATTGATGTCTCTCAATAAGATGGGACCCTGTACCAGCATGACCCTGGTGAGCGTCGCTCCGCGCACGGCTAGAGGTAAATGAGAGCATATAAATATGTATTAGGGATGCATAAGAGGTCAACACACGTTCTGTCTCTTTGAGCCTAAAACGCCATGAATCAGCAAAGCTGGTGAAGGAAAATGTGGAGCTCTCAAGGCCGCTTGAGGTTATGAGCAAGAAAAAAACCATCGAATGAGTAGATCTGGTGAAGGAAAATGCGGATCCTTCAAGGTCGCTCGAGGCTATGAACAAGCATGAGGCTGCCACGCCGACGCTTGCGCGTCACCCGGCACTCACTGATTCTCCCGATTAGGTTCAGGCAGCCACTGAGGTCGTCTTCGCTCTAATGTACTTGCACACGATGTTTCTTAGCTTGGGAACTTGCCGCAACTACGTAGGATTTAATCAAGATAATATCTCGTAGTAACTTATCCGTCAGTCGCGGATACGTTGAAAGACCCGAGGGTTCCAGTCAACAGAGCACAAAATCAAGCCTCGCTGAAGAGCAGACAAAGGAGGAAAGGGAGAGGTGCGGCACTGCTGCCTCGTCGTAATAACTTATAAGAATGGAGGCAGGCACGAGACAAAAGCGAGAGTGGCATATTCACCACGTGATCATGAGCGCCTGCGGGACACGTCGCCGATTGCTTGACTTCATCGCTGTTCGAAACGACGACAACCGAGTATCGGGACTTGGATTTTTTTTTGCTAGGTGCGCCCGACTTTCTCTTCTATATTTTACGCAATAACATTCTGATATCGAGCTGTACCGACTACGTAGCTATCCGTCTCGTTTGACATCCGTCAAGTTTCGGAGCCTCATAAAAGGTGAGTTTGGGGTATACGATGTACTCTGCAGAATAGATGCGTGAATTTGTGAGGTCGTCTTGAACTATATGTGCGCTTGGCCCGGGCGATTGGTTCTGCAGTGCTCCTCCAGAGGAATCAAGACTGAGGGAGAGATACGGATCTTGATATGGCGTGTTCTTGAGCAGTGCATGACCACCGGTGCGTCCGTAAAGTTCGTCGAGTCTCTGCTATCCAGCTGACGGTGTCGAACCTACGGATGTTTATACTCTAGATCCTTATACTGTCACGATGTACTCCTGCCGAACAATTTCACCATCTATACCTATGTCTGCCATTCGCCCACGCACAGAACCCCTGACATTTGATGGCTCGAATGGTCTCCAGTGTTTTGCCAGTGTTTTGCCTACACCAACTCTATGTTCTGGAATGGCTACTATTTTTGAAGGGTCTGCTTTATGTCTAGAACGCTGCCATTGCTACTGCCCTCCGAGATGTAGACCCTGTTTCGCAGACTTCGCTGCAGAGGACTGTCCAGTCTGCGAAGCCATTTAGGATGCCTTTGGCATCCGTCTCTGTGCCTAACCTATTGTGTACCTCACGTACAAATACCGAACCGTACGGGGCTTGTAGGAGATCCGCTATTGTGTCGTCCTGCCAGTCTACCTGATCTTGAAGTCCATTGATGGTGTGGCGCGCCACATCAATCTAGGGTTGCACCGTACTCTCTCCTCTTTTCGTTCCATTGGATCTCTTTCCGAGCGCGTTCGTTGTGGTGATACTTATTTTGAGTCTAGCAACCATGACAACTGTACCTCCACTCTCTCCTGGAGGACAATCACAATCATTCACCGCGACCTCCGATTTCTCTTCCCTGGTCGAACTCCTCAGCGGTCCCTTGGCTTCTACATCTTCTTCATCGTTATCCAACACCAAACTACCAGACTTGCAATATACCCTGACCTCTGCCTACCTCTCCCACCTAACGACTCTTCCCCTCCCTTCCCTCCTCTCGGAGCCCACCTCGCTCGCGTCCACCTCCTCCCAACTCACCAACGCCCTCACAACCCTCTGTACTTCCTCCTACCCCACCTTCCTCTCGCTCCACACCTCAACATCATCCCTTCACTCCTCACTCGACACCTTCTCCACCTCCCTGTCAACATTACTAGACACGCTCCCCGCTCTCGAATCCTCCTCCCAATCGTTCTCCACTAAAATCAAACACGTCCGATCCGAGCGTCAGAAGCGTCCCTCGTCCTCGACCAGTCCTCAAAACTCAACGACATCCTGGAGCTCCCCTTCCTCACCGAGACCTGCATCCGGAACGGCTTCTACGCCGAGGCTCTCGATCTCCACTTCCACACGGCCGCCCTCGCGGCGAAGTTCCCGGACGTTAGTGTGGTGGCGGATGTGAAGGCCGAGGTGGATGGTGCGATTAGGGGGTTGGTGCAGGGGATAGTAGGGATGTTTAGGGAGCCGGTGGTTAAGCTTCCGGCGCTTTGGAAGGCTGTGGGTTTTTTGAGGAAGATGGGGGTGTTTGGAGCTGGGGTAGAAGGGGAGGAGGAGTTGGCGGTGGCGTTTTTGAGTGAGAGGGGGGAGTGTTTGGAGGCAGCGTTGAGGGCTGTTGGGGCGGGGATGGAGGGTGATGTTGGTGTGGGCGTGGGTATGGGTGCGAGTGGCAGGAAGGAGGGCTGGGTTAGATATCTCAAGAAGTATGTGGATGTGTGGAGGGAGGGCGTACATGACGTTGTCACCCAATTTTCGACCATCTTCCTCACACCTTCTACCTCTTCTGCGACCACCGGAACGCCAACGCCACCGAAAACACTCACCCCGCTCCCCCTCCGCCCAAGCACCCCGTCGTCGACCTCACCACGGACCCCCTCCACCTTCATCCTCACCCTCCTCCCGACTTTCACATCCAACGCCATACACACCCACCTCCTCCCCACCCTTCAAACAGTTCTTCCTCACATCCAAGACCCCTCATGGCTCACATCCCTCCTCACCCAACTCACCTACTGCGCCACCTTCTTCTCCCGCATCGGACTCGACTTCAGAGGCCTGTTAGGCAACCGTGTTGGACGGGACGCCCGTGCATGTCCCTCCGCAGACGTTGACGTCGTATCCTCCGCTTGCTGTATATGTGAACGCGATTCTTACCACGTTGAATTCGTTGAGGTTGCTCGCTCCGGTTGCGTTGTTACCGGTACTCCTATCGGATTTAGATGAGGTGTTAGCGACGAGTGGGGAGGTGTTGTTGGATTATGTGAGGACCGTCGAAGATAGACTAAGCAGGGCAGAAGGAGACGACAACGAGAAAGAGATAGAGAAGGGAGAGAGGGAGAGGGAGAGGGAGGTGTTGGTGGTTAGGCGGGCGTGTGAGGTTGGGGTGAGGGTGCTTGTTCCGTTTTAGAGGAGGGGCTTGAGCGAGGGCATCAAGTTCGCGATCCTCAGCGCCAGTATCTCACAAATCCCCGACAAATGCTCCCCACCCTTCAAATTTCCTCAAATGTGACTCTTGGCTATGCTCAGCGAAGAACTCGACGATAGTAAACCAGTTGTCGGATTGTTGTACTATTTATATGGGCACGGTGGGTTGGGCGTGGGCGTAGGGGGGCGTGGTGGTGGGCGAGGAGGTGAGGCCAGTGAAGCAGGCAGAGGTTGAGATGGATGTTGTACAGGATGGGGCTCCATGTCCAATGAGAGGGAAAAGCTCGGGTACCCTCGAATTGGCTTCTTCAACTTTAAACTGCCCATCGTCGCCTATTGGTCATAGCGGAGAGGTGTGGCGAGACGGACCTTGGACGATAACGAAGGTCTCGCGAGCACGGCTTTGACATCCACCACGCTCAATTCCTCTGGGTTTCCGAGACGCACTAATTCCCATTCTTCGAAAGAGACCGGTGGCTTGCTGATTGATAGCTGGGGGATGTTGAGTGTGTGATGTGGCGTCGGGGCCCCGGTTTGATCAACGTGTCGCGGTCATTCTCTTTTGTTTTGTATCCGATGGGGATTTGACCTCGAGAGAATACGATGAAGTGGGAATGGGACGATGAGGTAGTATGAAGAGGTATAAGACGTGGCTAGTAGCAGCAGACTGTTGAGACCGCGAACGGTCGAGCTCCCAATTGCAAATGATCCGGAGGTCAATAGCTTTGCGGCCCGGCCTCTGTACGTTACTGAGGTTCAATTCTTGTGTGAAGTTTTCTTTTCCTCCTGTCGGCTTCGTACCCTTCACGTTTCTTTCAAGCTCTCACTCTCACCCTGTCGCCTGGTCGGTTCAATCCGTCTGGTCGCTTTTTTCCTTACCTCATCTTCCAATCATTACTCAACTACCGCGGCGTCCTATTTATGTGGCGTGCCGTGCGTACCAGTGCTCTACTTAGTTCGCTTTGACGTCAGCAGAATGCTTTATGAGCCTGAGCTGGGATCCCGACCGTTGCTTCTTTCTCGACTCTTGACTAGCTTCTGTAACTAGCACATAATTCGCCATGCCATACTCCCCCAACGCTACCGTTGACCTCAGTCCGGAGGCTGAACTCTTGTTTCGCTATGTGAGCTCATCTCAACACGACACAGACTTAAGCTTGGCAGGAAGCCATAGCATGCGAACCGCTCCGCTCTTCACAAACGAAGCCTTGAATGTCATTGGTACGACCGTCCTTCCTCAGCGCGCAGTCTACGGAAACGTTCTGCATTCACTTCAGGAGCCTTCGCCACTCACGAAACTGTACGTGAACACAAACGCCCCTTTCAGCGCCGTCGTATGTGGTCTGCAGGTGCGTATGTCCATTTTTCCCTTTAAAGTTTACTCAAGCTCAATTGATGTATGAAATCGTCTCCGGGATAGGGCTCTGGCAAAAGTCACTCGACGGCTGTTCTTCTCGAAGGCTGTTTGATTCAGGATCGACGTCTCGGGACGCTTCCCGTGCCGCTATGTGGCCTGCTGTGCGTTGCTTCACTCTGTTCAACTCCAGTGCCATTTTGTACCAACCCGCCGTTCTCTCTCCCTGTGTAGCTTTCACTTTGACTCTGCTGCAGGCAGTGGATTCGTTCAACCGTGTGAAGCGGCGTACTTGGCTGTGATGGATGGGACTCGTGGAGGGACGGCGACTGCCCCAGACGTTACTGTCCTCACCTTGTGTGTTCCTCGTGTCCTCTTCCACGCCTTCCACCGCTGACGATCAGTTATCGAGAAGGCCTAACCGCGTGGGGGCAATGAAGTCGGTTTATGCCAACCTACCGGGAGTGAAAGTGGAGGCTTTACGCTTCGCCTCTGGAGACATAAGTGGAGAACGGTTACTAGCAATGATGAAGGTGGACGATCATGATCGTGAGTTTTCCATCGACTTGGTCTGCTGTTCACTCATCGAGTGTTTCCGTTCATCAGAAATGCCGCTCTATATGGAGCTCGTCATGACCCTCCTCCGCGACATGGAAGTCTTCGACTATAACGAGTTTCGAGCGATGCTTGCGAAGCAGAAGATAAATGGGTCGCAGAAGGCCATGCTTAACCTTCGTCTGGCCCTGCTCGACTCCTGTCTGAGAGGGGGGAACGCGAACAACTGTATATCGACACACTTCAGGCAGGGGGCTTTGATGATCGTGGAGTAAGTGTGATGCGTATTTTTCTTTCGCACGCGCCTTGCTGAGAGGAAGCGGTCATTTATAGTCTGTCTTCTCCATTCATCGACGCGTCGTCGGCATGTGGTTTTTTCGATATCATTCTCAGCTTGTTCATCGAGGCCGAGGTTAACACGGGGGAAATAATAGGTCATTGTAGTGTTTGTCGATACTGTAACATGGAGCAACAATGGAAGATGGATGTTGGTGTCGAAAAGAGGGATGTTGAACCGAAGGCGAGCAGAACGGGTTTGCCCACGGTCTCGAGCAACTCCTTGGCAACTCCCGAACCGCGGCGGTCGTATGCCCGGCCTCAAATATGGTGCAGACTCAGATCTCGACATCGCCCATGTCTTTGAGAGGTCCTCAAGCTATTCCCAACAAGCATCCTCCCGCGCATAGTTACTCTCCATATACCGGTGTCCATTCATAGTCGGCCCAAATCTTCCTCTCGAATGCGCTCCTACTATGGTATCACCGTGTCTTTTCAAGTCGACTGCTTCCCCTCTAGCTCGACTCATCTCACTTGCTCTAAAATCTCAACGTGTCGCTATTGGACAAGATCTACGAAAGGAGGGGATACGACACATGCGTTGAGATATGGGGCAGCGCGGTCGACGCTATGTGATCAGAGGGAATTTTGCGCGAAAGACAGGGAGAGGATATATATCAATGAGCGAGAGGGAGAGCGGGAGAAGAGACTTAGACTGCAGGAAAGGCAAAGCTTCGGTCATTGACTGAGGGTATTGTGGTCTACGTGGCGGTTTGCTTGTTGAGTGTGAAGAACGGTGCGTCGCCCATCTGAGTTTTTTTTGAACAATTTTCTTTCGCGCTCGTCCGTATTCGCATGACCCCTATCCTTCGAGTTCTCCAATTCTGCTTGACCTCTCCTATCATCTCCGGATAGTTCTCCTCCTTAATTATAATTGGAAGGTCGGCGATATGGCATTGGTCTTGAATTACATGACGATGCAGACCATTGTCTGCCGTTGATCTGCACTGAGAATTGCACGCCTTGCTATGATCCCCTTTGCATATTTCATGCTCTTCACCCGCAGTTCGGCAGCCTCCTCCTCTATCTCTGCAAAGCGAGGATTTTATGGCGTCATCGTCTTCAATGGTCTCCAACCGCGTTGGACGTTCTGCATGGAGCGTCGGCTCATCTAGTTCGAGCAATAGCATGCCGTTACTTTCTATACCTGCGGTGCATATTCTACTACGAGTCGTCCAATGCCTGTCTTTCTATGCCCAAACGATGCAAGCAGAGGTTTAGTGTCTGAGTCGGCGTTTGGGATGTGGCGCGCCACACTACTTATTCACCCCGTACGGTTGGTCGACCGAATCTTTCAGCAACTAGCTCGAACATGAGGAAAACTCGTGGATGGGATCTAGATATAAGACCTCCTGCACGATAATCCGCATGACTGAAGGGTCTCTGTTCACGAGAGTCGCTTGCCCCTGTGCTTTCTGCGACGTCCTCACTCTGATATATCATGGGGTAAGGGGTGCCCAAAATCAACTTTGAACTATGTGCGCCGACCGATGCTTGCTCCCTAGTGTTCCGATTGAGGCTGTGAATCCTGTCTTCCGTGTTCCTTTCTTCGGCCTCGCCTTTTATTGCACCAACTGTTCTTTCCTTTATCGCTCTCTTGCCACTCTCGCCTCACACGCACCACTGATATTTTTCATTCTTCTGGACAGTACCGTGCTCCCCGTAAGGTACTCCCAAGCATCCTTGAGTTTACATTCCCGATGACGTCAACGATGTCCGCATTCACGTTCGTAAGTTCCTCCTCGCTCTAACTACCTACGTCAATGCTTCATGGTTGACGCATTTTCTACTCTGACACTTCAATCCTATCTTTTACCGATACCGTGACTTTTGTCCCGTGTCTGAATATCGTGGAGGAGGTAGCACTATACTTCGTGACGGTATATAACCTGTCCATCCGATAGAAGATGGTATAGTGTGGATTCCCGATTACGTGGTGAGTTCAAATCTTTTCCGTTGACCTCATTGATGAAGCCTTCGGTGGATGCTTGTCCATTGGGAGCGCTCTCTTGAGAGTGCAAGACTCGTGCTTGCTCTATAACTTTTCTTCTCGAAGAAAGGTATACGGCAGCGTGCGTTTGCCTGTTGAATCATCAAAGAGCAATCGTCCTGCACTTGCTATTTTGAAATGTGTCGACTGGATCGGTGAAGGGCTGTATAGTCGAGTGTTGCGTGTGGCATTGAAAGTCCACACTTCATTTTGTCACTGTATTAGAGCCAGCGCAATTTAACTTGTAGCGCGAACTTGCGGCTTAACTTGCCGGCCATTCCCGCACGACTTAACAGTCATTTAACTTGTGCCTCCCTTGTGGCCCTTGCCAAATCTGAGATGCTGTATTCGCCTCCGTTGACTCCTATCTACGGTCTCATCTCTGGCGCTTGGCTCTATCGCCTTCTATCTCTCGCACACTAGCTCTCGCCACTTGCTCCCAGACATTTATCGGGACATCTCTCATCACTGTTTTCCTTCCCAATCAGCTACTCCTTAAGGAGCCACCGGATGCTCTCTGCCGTTCTGCATTACCCCACTCCCCGTCCTCTCCCGCCTGTGCGTGTTCTTCACGTCTTTATGTCTTCCTTATTACTCCTCTTGCCCGTTTTGAATTTATTCGCAGTCAATTCTGGTTGTATTGATATTGATTTAGACTTCGATCCGATGAAGACTTGAAGGGCAATGCTACCATACCCGAACCGTCCATTACTCTTGAGGATGTGTGCGGCGATGACGAGCCTATTCGCGTCATTCGCCTTCGACTGGCGCATCTTCTTTCTCCGCTTCTTACATTACTATTACTTAGTATATTGTTCTTTGCTGTCGATCTCGTCGGTCGTTATGTAGATTCTGGCATGGACCTGTATGGTGATGCTCCCCTTTGAGGGCGCTCAATCTATCTGGAATCTTGGGACGTAGAGGTATCTGCATCCCCTCCTGCTTCAGTTTTGGCCCCTCGTGCGCTTCACCTTTGTCCTCTATCATGTCTATATGTTGCTATAAATATATTTCCCTGTCCTCTTAACATCTGCTACCTCGAACGGTCTCGTGTCTGACAATGTGATTGTTGTGAAGTCACCAGGATCAACATACAAGAATGGATACAACATATTTAGCCGTACTCAGCTAAATATCATACTCCGGTGTACTGGTTAAATTCGATGTTATAAACCCCGAGTCCTTTGTCCTTGTCCAAGATATATCAGCACACTTAGATTATCGAGGGGACCATCTGAGTCATCCCAGTTCTAGATAAATAATGAATGATACATATACTCTAGAACTGTGTATCAAAGTTTGTAATATTAGCTATAGCCTGAATGACGTCGAGGAGTCGCTCGTGATCATATGGGATGCGTAGAATATAACCCATCCTTTGTGGTTTCGTGAAGTGACGACTACTCGGAGTAGACCACAGATCATACTTTTCCTACTAAACTTCGACATGTACCTCCCTGTTTTCCCCTCAGCCATAGAGCATAGAAGGACGAAAGTGATGAACATCTCACTTTTGAAAACTTGCACGAACTTGTACAACTGCCAAAATGCTAACATGTGCAAACTTGTATGCACACGTTCGCCAGTATAACTTGGGTGTCGAACTTGCCCAAGTTAACTTGCACGTTTGCTAACATGCATAAACTTGTACAGCTGCCAAGATTCTAACTTGTGCAAACTTGTACACACAAGTTTGCCAATGTAACTTGAGTGCCGTGCTTGCACAAGTTAACTTGCACTACATCTAGACACAAGCTACCTGTAAGGTGTGCTGGAACTCCTCGCGCCACTGACATGCAGCTCACGGGTGAGCTGCATTTCCTTCAGTTCGTGCATTTGTACTACTTATTTCATATCTTTATTTCTTCTACACAAACACTACTAGTATATGTTTGTTGTCTGTTGTCACGTAGTCACATCACATCTTGTAACCACTCGTACCTTACCTGGAATATTATCCGCAAGCAACACGGGCTAGGCAGATACTATTCACTTAGGCGCAAGCACCTCAAGATTTGACCACAATTTGGCCACGGACCTGTAACATTACCAGCTTCAATGCAGTTTTTTCGATCTAAATTGGACAACGGTTTTCATTTTAACAATAATGAATGATAAACATATTCTACCCTCTACTATTTCTCCCAACAGCCGAATCTCACGCTTTAGCCTTCGCCTTCAGCCTTGCACTGGATCGTTTCTCCACATGATGCAATCTTGAATCAGCGGGATTGTGCTTCTTCCGTTTCTTTGGCGGTTCTTCCGGAGGATCAGAGGGGGAAGCTGGAACCTTTTGATAACTCAACATTAGAATGATACGTCCTCGGTCACAACATGGGTAATCAGAGACTCTCACCTCAACTATGTTGGACGTCATGTCGGGCGGAGCATCCAATGAAGCCTGTGTTCGCTTTGCAGCAAGAGCGCGTGGACGTGGACGAAAAGAGGAATACGGCTCTCCTCCGCTCAATTGATTTTCAGAGGAGCCTCTCCAGATGTATGGCTGTCCATTGGATGACTTGATACCAACGATACCTTCCAGAATGTCCATCTCAGGTCGGTATCGAAGGATTAGGTCCTTGAGCTTATACATGCCACAAAAATCAGTGATCATTGGTTCGGGAATTCCGATGCTTGAGCCGTCATCCGAATCCTGTGCGGAGTTTCGAGTGCGTACGCCCTCGTAAATATCGGCTTGGAAGTCTTGATCAAGGACCCGTGCCACTTGCTGCCATTCAGAGGGACGATTGACAATCCTTCGTGATGTAACAAGATCGAATATCTCGTTGTCGTGCTTCGGGCTGAGGCGTAAATAGGTGCGCAGAATTACTAGCTGGAGCAGAACAGTTCCCGGTTCGAATATGAGCTGACTGCGAAGTACGCCGGTCCAGTCTGGCATTCGATCGGCGAGAACACGTAGCATATGGGAAAGGTACGGTGCCAATAGCGAAGAATCTCCGGGGAGAATGGGGATGTTAAACGTAGTGTTGGCCCAATCGTGGCCGCGCCGAAGAAGGTTTTGACGGCCCGCGGCTGTATTAAGCCAATTGCTGTACCCACTCATCACAGGGTGCTTTCGCGCTCCGGTAAGGATGGCTATAATGGCGCCAAAGGCGTCTTCCAGAGCCGCTTGTATGGTGGGATTAGCATATCGATACTTGTCCCGTGCGTCCTCGCAAAGCTGTAGGGGCCAGTAGATATGTCCAGCCTTTGAGATGTGTATAAGAAAACGTCAAGCCAGATGTAAAAGAGTAATCAAATGCGCACATTTTCTGCATTTTTGTACATAGCTATGGCCGCCTCGACAGCACGCTGAGTAGGGAACTTGAACTCGTCTGTCAAGGGCTTGTCGCGCATGGGCGAGTATTTATTGCAATCAAACCATTTCAAGACGGCGCTGCGACCTTCGCGACGAAGAATCTTAGCAGCATAATATGTCTTGCTTTTTTCCCGTGTTTGAAGAAGGATATACTGATTGATACTTCGAATGGAACAAATAATCTTAGTATATAGACGTCGAGGGAACAATGGATATGTCATTGTGAAAGACGTACTACTTCGCATCACTCCAGAGAACACTCCCAGGTCGCTCACGCGCGGCCCGGGAACAGACGTAACACCGCCAATACTGAGACACTGGGTACCCATGTGGCAAGCCCCACTGAAACTCTATGCAGCTCACATGCGACCGCCGCTGGCAGATATTACACTCCAGAGTCCGACTGACATCGACTTCGTCAGGATCCAGATCGCCATAACATCCGATACAGTCCGGGTATAAAGTGAACGTAGGATTTTCAGGTGTTGCTTCGTTGTTGCGATGCAGGACCAGAGCTTGAGTGTCGTCCACTGAATCCGACGTGTCTGACTCGGAAGGTGACTGTGGGCGGGGAAGTGTGGCGTCAAGTGTGGCGGAGATGAGTTCGTCAACAGTATCGGGTGTGGCGGGCTTGGTGTTAGGACGATCTGGGAGAGCGGTTTGTGGCGGGGGAGTAGGTGAGTCAGGCCGTATCGGGTTTGCAGGTACTAGTCCATAGCCATCAATAGCCACTGGACCCTGAGATAATAGCTTAACAATTTGAGCAACGCTACGGCGTGAAGTCTGTTCAGTTTGGTAAGTGATCAGAAATAGGATAGTATGCATATTGATCCAGATAGAACAACGTACGGAAGATGGTGTGCGACGGTAGTACATCAAAAGGGATGTTTTCACATTTGAGCGCTCGATTACGGAGACGTCTCCTATGTCTTGGAGAAATCCCCCATTCTCCACATCGTCGTAGACATAAACCCGATCTTCGATGAGGATTTCGGCCTGGAAGTGGCTGGCCTCGCGGAGGAAGATTATACGTCCAATAAAATCATAGCCAATATCCTCGTATCTTGTGGCTTCTTCAAAGCCAGTGGCGTCCTCGGGAGACGCCTCGACCGGCGAAGAAATTGAGAATGAGGCAAGCGGTTGGACTGGACGGCAATCGTGTGGATTGAGGTCAATGGTGTCGGGAATAATCTGAAGCAGTTCCGGCCACGACGTAAGCGTTTCGACGTTGTGAGGTCGTTCGGTGCAGCCAGGGTGGTGACAAGCATCGACGGTGACATTATGGATCATTTCGGATGCTTCTTTTGCGGAAGTGCGATCAGCGATTCTAGGAATACAGAACTGGAAGTACTGTTGAATTGTGATCGTTGCGGTGGGTTCAAGAGATAATGCAATGCGAGCCAAGGACTTGTCGTGCTCGGACATCACAAACGGTCCTGTAGTGATAGTAGAAACTGTAGCAGTCTGAGAATGTCCGTTTCCGCATATCCGTACGACACGTTGCTGGATACCGAAGTGGAGACGTATCGTATCTTCGTTTCCAAAGGTTCCGCCTGTATTATCCTGAGACACCTCGTCAGGATTATCTCCACACAGTAATTTATTTAAGCGTACCTCGAGAAGACGCTGTATCCAATTCGTAGGATGACCAAACTTGCCTGCCGGAGTATCGTTCCACCTGTCAGAGATATAGTAGCGAAGTTTGGACTGGGCGATACCAAGGATACGAGTTCCCTTGTCCGTATGTCTGTCCGATCCGGCACCCTTTTCGGCGGTCCACCGACAGCGAACATCAAACTGGTAGAGCATCTCCGCGAGTGGCGAAGACGAGTCATGAAAGAGCTGCCTGAGTGTCAACCGTTGGGGAGGGCGTAGGCGCATAAAGAATCGAAATAATAGCTCATGACCGACGTCGAAAAAACAGGAGTTTTTGGCCCATTTATAAGATCGGAGGATGGAAGGAGCGGGAGATGTGGGTAGCGAGGATTCATTTGTGGCGTCAAGCGAATCGGTCGAGGATGAGCTATGATGGGGTGTGCCAGAGGCCATCGTGGGCCTCAGCAACTCGTACGTATCGGGTGCACGACCGTCATTCACCGCCCAAGGCTTCAGGGTTCTGCGACCGGTCTTCGGTCCACGACTGGGACCAATGTGCCCTTCTACATGGACGCAGATAGCGGTGAGATCGATGATGCTTTCAAGTAGCAATAAAGGAACAGAGTTACCTTCAATCGATTTTGTACGTTTCTCCATCTCCTTCGCGTGGAGATAAAGATTCTGGACTCCTGGAATCAAATCATGGTCTGTCCCGACGGCGTGATGAAGAAGAGAGTGCTGTGTTTCGACGGGATTCGAATTGTTTGGGGTTTGGTCGAGATCTTCTGGGTCGCTGACAGAATGACAAGGAAATGCCATGGTTCGAACGCTGGCTCGAAGCCACCAAGCCAGCCAGCCGCGAATGCGAGGTAGCGTTGTTCGAATGTGTTCTACGGCCTCGCTGAACTGAGACCGAGTCGTGTCTCTCCCTATCGCTAGATGACAAAACTCGTCGAATAGCGCAGTGTGCTCAGGGGGTACTAGAGTTCCGTTTCGTTTGAGCCGTGTAGCTGAACGCATAAAATGAACGTCACATCCGCGCCGATACTTTGCCGCTTCATCGAGATAAGCTTTTCGTGCGTTCGAAATTGTCTGTGCACGGATAGCCTCGGGAAGTTTCTCGTACGTGGCGTGTTGGCGAGTTATCATCGTCTCTGCGAACTCGATTTCATGGGCACGATCCTGGGCTTGAGAGAAGTCCATGATCTAAAAGAGAGTATAGGGAGAATGTCAGCAGAGCAACCTTGGCATGTCAGTCGAATGGACCTACGTTGAACAACAATTTTGGCTCAAAACGCTCGTCTGCGTGATCGATGATAGACTTGAATAGCCAACGAAAATGATGGCGGATGTGCGCCGTATCTAGACGATCGTCCCACGTATACAGAGCGGGAACCCAGGATTCAAGGGTTGTGTCGAATCCAACCGAAACAAGCAGGTATCCATGGCGAAAGTACTTGTTATCAGCGTCTGTGACGTTGCCGTGCCCAGGATACGTCTGGATCGTGTTAACGAGGATCGAAGGTCCCGAGCCCTCCTGAAGCCAAGAATTGACGCTGAGTCCGAGCCTTTCCTTCATCCAAGGTGTCTGCAGAACGATGACCGACTCGGAGAATACCTGCATGTCAAGCAAGAATGTCGAACCGTATTCCTCTCGCAGCTTTCGGTAGACTTCGAGAACAGAGAACCCGCTCTTAGATGATCCAGCTGGACGTATTCCGGTTCGCTCCTGGCTCTTCGCCAGTTGGTAGCGAGCGGCACGAGGGTCAGCTAACTTGGGATTAATGTCGGCCAAGGGCTTCGATCCTGGAAGTGCATCGCCTGTACGCAAAGCATGGGCGTGAGCGGTAGGGCGACGAGTTGCTTGAGCATCTATCTCTGCCTCTTCTTGGGGGCTGACAGCTCCCCCCGGAGGCCGCTCATGCGTATGCACACCATCATGTTCCCAGCAAGAGTACTCCAGCCCATCTCCCCCCATTTCCGTCCACGTATACATCGCCACTGGGCATGTTCGAAGGGAGTGCGACAAACTACCACACGTCTGATTAGAACATGGCTTACTTGCCTGTTCCTGCCGTCGTTTGTCGTTCGTGAGAGGGCGTGTGGTCCTCTTGCAGGTCGGGTTATTGCAGACATAAATACCGATGCACCGAACGCGCTTCGCATTATGACCTTTCCATTTCTGCTTTCCGGAGGAGCGGGTGGCCCATTTTACGATTTTCCAGCCAGGCGGCTCTGAGCCCACCGGGAATCGACGGTGCACGCTACCAGAGGGGTAGTCTTCGGCAATGTAGATCGCACTTGAGCCAACGTGGATGGAATTACTGAAAATGAAGAAACGCACTCGGATCGTTGTCTCCTTTGTCCGAATCGCCATCCTGCTCTCTAGCTCTCTTATCCCCTTCCTCTTCATCGTCGTCTGTATCCACGGTATCCTCGACCTTTCTCTCCTGTGATGTAATCTTGCGTGCTACCTTTGTCTTCGTGAGCGACGGCTTTCGATGGAGCGTTGCAGACTTTGGTTCAGTAGACGTCGCCTTCATGTCTTGCGAGATTCGCGGAGTCTTGGCTTTCTCGGCTTCACCGACGACAATCGCCAACATTCTGTTGAATGTAGGACCCTCGACTACGTAGGCTGTTCGTAATGTTAATAGAGAGGTCTCAAACATGCATAAATCATGGAGATAGACACACATTCATTTGGTAACGGGCCGCTGTTTCCTGTTTGGGAACTCCCCGTCGTGTTGTGCGGCGCCTGACGGCGAACGTTAGATCCTGAGTCTGGACCTTGCACGTTGGTAGACTGTGCGCCGAAATGAAAGAAACGGTATATGCGGGAGAGCATGGCGATGGATGCACGACGAGCAAGACAAAACAAACGAAAATTGAAAGCAAGCTCAACCCTCAGGTACAACGGAAGCAAATGTGGCGGGACATTGTCTAACCGGTGTGGCGCGCCACAATTACTTACCGTTGATCGACAGGACAGTGAGAAGCCTTCACAGACGCCATGCATGAGTTGAGAATAAGTTGAGATGAATGAATAAGGATGAAGGTGGCCCCAGAGTCATCATTTGGACAACACTGAAGGTTGCAGAATTTGTTCAAAGTGGTTCGGATGAGGCCCATTGACAGGCTGCCTAGAAGCAACTTCGACTACGGATGGCCTCCGCATTGACACAACAGCAAAAGTACAAGTCAGATACATGTCCAGAAAATACTGTGTTCGATTTATTTATGCAGTATGACGTCGTATTGCTGTTCGCTACAGCGATACGATGTCATACTGCATAAATGGAACGGAGGTAGCGCTTGTTCTGTGCTAGAAGTATGACATCGTATCGCTGTAGCGAACAGCAATACGACGTCATACTGCATAAATGGAACGGAGGTAGCGCTTGTTCTGTGCTAGAAGTAGCGCCAGCGTTGTCTGTGACTGCCTATGGACCAAGAGGGTCTCACAAGTGTGCTCATCACACCGGTATCAGATACTTAGTACTGACAAGTTAATATATTAAGATTTTGAAAATCCTGCGCATATCAGCGTACAAGTTAACTTGTACAAATGCACGTTAGCTTGGATAGAGCAGAAAACGAGGATGTAGTCTCGGGAAGCAGTACCAGAGTACAAAGTCTCCTATGCCGCGACAGAAGTAAAGGGCATGACTTGAAGAAACAAGTAACGCAGGCGACAAAGCCGAGATCACCGTCACGAGCAGGAAAACTGTCGGCATCACCTAACTTGGATGTTCGAAGACCCAAGTTTGCAACCCAAGTTTCCTCTTTGGCATACAAGTTAAGTGTGTCAATCCACAAGCTGTGATGAGATGGCTCTCATCTAGTACGAGTGTATTCCCTTGAGTACTGCAAGAAGCATCCCATCGAGTCCTTAAACTCCGAGGCCAAAAACACAAGTTCATCCAAGTATATGCGCATATAGTAATGCAAGTAGTGTGCGAAGCCTGTAGAGTCAATGTTGACCAAACGTGGCCCGAGATCGATACTCGCAGCATAGAAGATGATGAGAACGAACGAGATCCAGCGACATCGTGCAGGTCGGCAACAGGTCGGAGTTGGATGAAGTTGAACTCGCTCGAGAGGCGGCGAATGCCGATACAACATAACTCCGCCGCAACAATCCGAGACTATGAGTTCATGACCATGTTGTGATGCACCGCAGGGGCGACGGCCATTTTTAGCACCGGGAGGGATGTACAAGTTTTGCAAGTTAGAATCTACAAGTTTGACACACAAGGGAGCTTGCTAACTTGCAAGTTAACGGGGACAATTTAACTTGCTCTGCCACAAGTTCCCACAAGTTAACTTTTGGGCGGCGCAAGTTCGAATTTCAAGTTAAATTGTGAACCCTCACTGTATTAGGCTTCACTTAGGGACAGCACATCTTTGGCTGGGCTTGAGCGAGTATAAACCGCATGGCAGTCTTTTATTGAACGCGTCTTGTCTCTCAATGTGGATCTATCTTTCTCCAGACCACACCTTTCGATGACGTCCGAGACTTGCCGAGTCATCGTAGGCCATTACAGGCTACTGCTTCGAGACACCAACGAGGACTTTCGTTCACGCTACAATTCAACTCATTTTCCGCTTTCGGCCGGTTCTTCCTGTTTAGAATGTTGATTCACTCAATCTTCTCTCAGACTTAATGTAGGCGATGTTATCTCCGACGTTCTCATTCAACTTCTCCCTGACCGCACTCTAGGTCAATCTCCGCAGACGCTCGGCGTATTCGTGGTTGGAAATGAGTATGTCTCTAGTCTTGTCTTCTAACTTATGGTTTCGTGTTTCAATTGTATAGTTCTACATCATCGAGGGATGATCAGGGTCACATCTTTACCATCCGACTGCTTGACAACGTACATTTGACGCCTCTGTTCCTGTTTATTATGTCGAATGAAAGTGTGAACGTTGTGGGAAAGATCATCGTTAGCTTGATTGCGAAGTCGCCATCGACAGAGCCCTGAGGCCTCTCGGCTCACGCCATGGAGTTGGTTGCCCGTCAGCAAACCACAAATTCGGAACGGAGAGACAAATGTTATACGGCGTGATGGCAACCGATACCGGGACCAGGACCTAGCCTCTGAGGTGCGCATCCCTGCGTCTCTCGCGCCCCTCGCGAAACGCTCATACTTACGAAGCAGAATTGTTTGATCATCGCCAGTCCCGCCATCAGCCGCTTCCTCTCCACCATCAACAGCCCGATCTGCCTCCACATGCATCCTTTCTCATGAAGCGCCTACTTCTTCATAATAGCTTCTTCTCGAAACTCCGTGTCTAATCGGAGATGTCATGGCAATTATTGCCAGCCCACAACTGCCCACAATCGCTTGAGTGGTACTGATGTGGGCGCTGAGAGGATCCGGTTCGATTATGATTGACACTGCTCAATCTAGTCAAGGTAATCAAAAATACCCTTCATCCTTCCGACTTCTGTGCTCTGAGTACCTTCTCGTCACAATAGTTCATTTTGTATGTGATCACTCAGGCCGACTTATCATTCCACGCTGGTTTTTCGCGCCCTTATGCATCTTGTTGTTCTTGAATTGACCGCGCGTTTTGTTCGTACTCTTGTCACGGTGTTCCAGTGTGGCCGTACATCGATGAAGACCCGCAAACACACCCTCGACTAACGGCGATCACCCCGAAGTTCCATCTACACAATAATTACGGAGATCCCTCCCACGGTACTTAGTCTTTATTGTACTCAGTGCTTGGCTTCCCATTGGGTTATATCCCCCACTCGCAGGTATTTTTCACCCAATGGTGCCTCCAGATCCATTGTACTGACTATTTCTAAACAAAAACCATACTGTCAATCTTGGCAGTAATTTATCTGCTTGAACGGTAGGTTACTGAGAGGCGAGACTGAAGAAGTCGAAATTGAATCGATATTCTAGCTTCATCCACAAATTACAGAGCAAAATTTGTTTCACGGCTTTATCAGTGTTAATATACTACAGTGTCCATTAGACCGTATCTGCAACCGTTTAAAAATGACTTTAAAACTGCGATCGGGCCAATCGTCCCGTCCCATTCAACCTTAGCGAGCTTTAGCGAGGTCAAAAATTCACTCGCAGATACGGTCTCTTGCGTCACTTTGATTATGACGAAGTTTACGCGTGAAATAGTACTTGCGGTGAGACTGAGCGAAACTGTGTGGAAACGTCATCTCGGCCCGGTTCATATTTCAATCTTTTTTTTTATGATCGCTGTCGCTCTTTGGGCTTTGACTTGCTGACCTTCTGCTAATGCCTCATCAAATCCTCTCAAAGCACTGCCACTAACCAGTTTCCAGTACAGCTCGAACGAATTCCACACCTTTCCCGTGCGAAAGTCCTTATAGACCTTGATCGCCAAAATGCATCGCATTAATGGGCCCTAATCGGGATTTTTTGATCTGGTTCGTGTGTACGATGTGACCTCTATCAGTGGCCCTTAACTCGCAGAGTCTTCTGTCTTCTTCATGAAGAGCTTGTTATCGTTTCCGATCTTCCCCATTCACCGCGTTACTTTGTCTGATGTAGACCCTCAATCATATCCACCCCACTGTTTGCACCGACGAAACTCTCACTCCACCGCTGACGCATACGGCTCTCATGCCATTGACTTGGAACTCCTACTCAATCTCAGAGTTTGATTGACTCCCTTTGGGCTTCATGACTGTATGGAGTATAGTCCATCGAAGTATAACATGAACAGTTTCTGGCGAAAGATGGGTGGGGGTCTGACTAGGTCAAGCTGGTATGGGCAATAGGATCCCCGCGATTGTTACGGCGGTGATCTGACTTACGAGGCCGTTGACTGCCATAGAATACACTGTCCGGTCGGGACGACACCATTCAGCCCTAGTGTACACGAAACACAAAGGATTCTACTTTTTGTCCGATACGTTTCGGGTGTCTTACTCGATCTTCTTCAAGAGATATGTCCTGATTGGCGGCCATGCTCGTGGTTTTGCCAGGGCACACTTTTACTATCCCCACCTTACCACGTATCCGCTCATTCACACAGCGATTGAGGGTAGATTATAAGAAACATGTAACGGGCTATTCCATTGAACTACAATGTCTGCTCGTGGTTACGGCAGGATGACTCTTTCACCTAGCATCCTCCTTCGCCCTTTATTCACCATTCTGCCGCGAGGTCCTGGAGCAGCGCCCAAATACGAGGATCTGTAATCCAAACCTGATCCAGTACTGTGTCCCTCACAGGGTCTTTCTGATGTTTTTCCAGCCGCGTCACCGATACCCATCCACCTGCCACTGCAAGGCCCGTCAGAGTCTTGTCATGGAGAGATTTCTGCTGAAGTCTTTTGAGATAACGCTCGACCTGATCTAACGCTTCCTCCCGTTGATCCTTCTTGATCTTCACCTCTACGAGTAAAAATGCTATATCGCTGCCTTCAACTTCATCGTCGTCAATTTTGTCTTCATTCGGATCCGTCGCGTGCGGTTCGAAGCGTGTCGGTGGTTCGTTGGCTGCAACGGTGACTATGAAGTCGGGTAGCATTATGCCCTTTTCTTGCCCACCAAGTTTGCGAGAGATCACTAAATCTCCACTAGAGTCCAATGACATCAATGATGTGTCACTGTCCTCATCGCTGTCAACAGGTTTTGGTTGGTTCTTTGCCGGTTTGCGTAATGCGCCTTGAGGTTTGACCATATGACCATTGGGACTTGTGAACAGGCTGTCCAGATATGACTGGATGGGGCCATACCACGAATTCTCCAGTCGGGGAGCATTCTCTTTCATTCCATCCAGGCGAATGTTTATGTCAAGCTTTGAGGACATCGCAGACATCTTTAAGAAAGTCAATTTTAATCACATCAATCGCATGGATGGTGCCTTAGGAACACTCACCGCTGTAATAATGAGTCAATTATATAACGGAATTCGAGTGAGCTGGATTGAGGAGGAAATTTGCGGCCTTTATGTTAGGACACTGCAGTTAGACTAAGAAGAATATATGAGGCTCTGACGGGTCCGCTTACCTGCAGAGGACACTATTCACTGCTCGTACCCTAGCTTCATGCATCCAGCGATTTAAATACAGCGGTGACATAGACCTCAACCGTTAATGATCTGTAACATGATCTATTTCAGTATGTTTCACCACTATGTTCTCACACTCTCTTCTCTCTAATTGTTAACACAATGAAACACTGTCCGTTCGATCATCAAAAGCCTCGCAACAATAGAACGGTTGCTGTAACGGTTTTGATGCGGATAAAACCGCGTGCTGAAACAGTGGACTCATTACTCGTCAATCCTTGTCGGTAGAATCACTATCAGAGGCAGGTATTTAGTCATTGCTCAACCTGGCGGTTGTGAGCATTAGTGTCAGGAGGCGCGAGTTTAGGAAACCCCATGAGACTGTGTACAGCCACCATCGGTTCTCTCTTCTCCGTCAAAGTCGACTTCAGGTCGTTACTTGAGTCTCCAGTTCTTACTGATGTTGACTCTCAAAGTCTCATGTGATAATGTGCTGATAGTGTGGTCGACGCTACTCGTCGGCTGTCCGACGTTCCTGTTTCATACCTCTTTCTATCAGTCGTTTTGATTTATTGTCTTTCTCGATCCGTGCATGCTCTATCACTGAATACCGTTTCACTGTTTTTCAGTGCTGTGTCCCAATCTATACCAGGCCCGTGCGATACATTCAATATCACCAGTTTAGAACTCCATCGTCTGGCATTTAGTTTTATGTCCTCAATTTCATTGACACTCTACTGTGTAATAGCGAGTTTGCGGTGCGTAAAATCTACACGGCGGGTTTCGTCTGCAACATTCCCGTTGCATAGAAAATTCTGAGAGAACTCGTGAGCACTCTATAGCCTCAGTATAAGATGTTTCCTTATCAGAATGAGTTGCCAAATTACCCGGCTCATGCTGCAGCGCTGTCCGGAAAGTGCTGCGTTGGGCAGAATCTGGGCTCCGCAAACTCTCTAGTAGTGCTGACACGCTTGCTGCTTACATGTTCTGCAGCATGCTACATGCCAACTGGTGGCTATGAAAATTATCACTCAAGAAGTATGACTGAAGTTATTGATGTGCTTTAAATGTGTTTTACAAACGGGTTTCACAGAATCAAACAAGTACTATTAGATGTTGGTGGATATATACATCCTTCTTGGCGATAGTTCATTCAGCTTTGTGCCTAGATATTGTATTTATATCAGAGGACATGACAATGTTTAACATGTGGGGTATTCAACAAGATTTCTTTAAGACAGTCATCAACTCACCGGAATGTCGGCTTAGTCGAGAGGACCACGATAAGTGATCCATTCCCCAGTCCCACCCCATTCATTGCTTTTCGCCTCTTTATCATTCACTATAAAGCCGTGCTTCGATAAGAATCCGACGCCGTATTGATATGTAGCAGAGTGAAGCGGGCGTGCGATGGTCGTGTAGTCGCGGTGTGTTCCATATACAAAGGCTTCCGCAAGTGGGATTATGAATATGACGTTATCGTCTGGCTGGAGTTGACCCCGCGGAGCCAGAGGATAGTCGACCAATTTTGGTAATACCCTCTTGTTTCCTTCCCAGTGTTTCCCCCACCAATCCAAGATCAAAATCTTGAGTGAATAAAGGTCTGGGTCATCATCAGGAAGGTCGTAGTCGCTGATATTCTCCTTCGCCCATTTTATAATCCAGGACAAGGAATAGGTGAAGCCTCCGATAGCGTACATTTCTTTTTTCTCCTCTTCTAAAAGTCAAGAGTCAGCCTGCATCAACAAACGGTTAGTATCATATACATACCGCGAGCTGCACGAGAGGTGGGAGATACGTCAGACATCCGCGTCCGTGAGAGTTATCACGAGGGGGGTTTCTGGGTTCGTGTGGATAATGCTGTCTGTCAGATTTCGAACGGTAGCTACTTAAATAAAATCCTGCCGGCGCTTGTGATCTGATGGCTACAACATGAAGAGATCGATCATTCTCACGCTATTGTGTTTGCATCAAGATCAACTTCGATAGGTAACCATCGGAGCGTAGCCTCAATCTATCGTACCACTAACGAGTTCTCCGGGTCCTCATCCTGCTCTCTTCGCACTTGGGGCCATCTGATCTCTTGATATGGTTGTCCCACTTGTAGAGGATCTCCATGTTTCCCTGTAACTGGATGGTATTGTCCCACAACAACGCCGTGGAGGCCGAAAGAATGTTCTTGGACATTTCACTGATTCAAGCTCGTCAGTCTGAGTGTATGACAATAGAATATCGATGCATCTTTCTGAGTTTTTTCAAATGAAATTCAAAACGAGTTTCAGGTAACATTGGGAATAAACTAGATCGGTTTCTGAACATCATGAAGTCGCCGATCGTTAACATCAAGGGCGTATTTTATGATTGCCGAAATTGATAGGTAGGATCGTCCCTTGAGAAACGTACAGGGGATCAGTTATACCTCCGAGACAAATGGTAGCCATACAGTTTCACCTTCTTCCAGGTCATGTCTTGATTTTTCACTGTGTGTGGCGACTTCGACCTGGTCATCAACGGGACAAGAGCCGCGTAAGATTGGCGGCTCACTTATGTCTTATTGTTTTTGCTCTGTAAGTCCATTCGGCGTAATGCTGATGTCAGATGCAGTATCGGGGGGGTGACAGAGCAGAATTTGTCATATATAAGCAGGGATGCTTTAGTTTGTGGACGCCAGTGCTGCCCCAAGATTAGATGTGCGTTTCTCTCTATATCCACACACCTTAGAGTCGTAGATGATGACACTGATATCTATTTCAGCAATTATCAAACGCGGCAACACATTCTGCACCTCTTTTACAAAACCAATTGCACGTGCCGGGTATGTTATCTACAACGGTGGTTGGATTTGATTTGTATAACTGATGATCTTCGACCGCCAGTCCCACTTATTTACAACATGGGGAAGCCATTCATACCGAAGAGGCGTATCAACTGGATGATGGAATCCGACAATCAGCCACGTCTCGAATCGTCATGGTATGGCCCCATAGAAGCCTACCTAAGGGACATTTTCACATTGGACGAAGGCTTTATAATCAAGCCACAAGCGCCCTTGCGCGAGGAGGCGAACCCGAACGTTGACGCTGGACACACGTCCGAAGACTCTATGGGAGGAAAGGTTACTAGTCGTAAAGCAGGAAAAGAGCCCAACCTCATGATTCCCGACTTCATCGTGGTGCGAGGAGTAAATCATCCCACCAGAGCGACAAAGGAGGATCTAGATGCTCGGTCGGAATTAAACGACGAAGAAAACGAGGAAACGAACGGCCCAGACTCAGACACAATTATTCTGGTTGTCGAAGTGAAAAATTATGAAGCCTCGAGGTCCTCAGCTGCTGTCCAGATGTCAGGATACCTTGACAGGGTGAAGTGTAAACCAGGGATGGTCGACAAAAAGGTGCCAGGCCTGGTCGTTTGTGGCGGTGCCATTGACATTTGTCTGGCCAAGTATGAGCTCAAAAGAGGTCGTATTCAGACCTCGATCGAGAAGCCGGCACAATATAAGGGGTTAGCTCTCACTGATCAAAGTCTTGAGACATATCTTAAGGGGTTGAAGATGTGAAGAGGTTGGAGTTCGGAGTAATTACACATATCACAACTTCTTTCATTAGACCATGTTTGATCCAATATGAATCAACACAGTTTATCATTACCATGAGAAATAATCAATCCGTATCAAGAGCTCCTCGATTGTGTGCACATTGAATATCCATTGAGCTTTCATTTGTGTCCGCGAATGTACATTCCGAACCAGCAATGACTCGTCACTCACAGGCAAGGCTTGGGCAAGTCCCCGGTAGAAGTTGACGGTATCTGTTGCTAGAGCGGAGGCGGCTGACCGAGGGTAGGCTAAAAGGCGAGAAGGAAGATACTTGGTGTAGAGCACCGTAAGAGTGATGTGGCAACGGCGCTTTGTAGAGGTCGAGAACTTTCTAGACGGGTCTTTTCACGATCGCACAACCTTTTACTCAGGTAAGAAAATATTGTCCTATGCACTATCGTACATTGAGGGTGACGAGTTTATACTGAGCTTATATTGAACTTGAACTCCGCTAATTCTGAGCCCGAGCATTTTTTCATCATGGTTTTTTCAATGCACATCGGGAAAATTCGATGTACATTAGTTCAAACATGGTCTCTTATGATGCAAATATTGCACACTGGTCAGGACTGCCGAGATATATCAAGATCATATAGACATCAATGTATGAGCGTATGTTCGACCAAGAGCAGTCACAACGCTCCGAGGACGTGAAGTCAGCATTGGTCTCAGAAGGAATGGTATATGTGAACTGTACGTAATACGAATATATGGAAAAATAGGTATGGCTCTCCATCGACAATGGTCTCTAAGTATACGTGCAGGTGGTAAAGTAACATGAGTATATTGGAAGGGGGTACGAAGGGGGTGGATCGTCGAGAAGAAGAGGAGTGCATGTGTAGGAGGGTAGAAGTATGACTTAGTGTTCTCGGCCAGAGCCTGTGCGAAGTCGATAGGGATGAGGCGTTTGATGAAATTCGGCTCGACGATTTTATTGATCGGGAGCTGGCCTGTCCCAATACTGAGAATACCGGCTATTTGGCGATCGGGGAAGATGAGGTTTGCCTCTTGAAGAACAACGTCGCACGGATTGTTCTGCACTAAACCGCCATCCATATATGTCTGTTTGATCTCATCGACCGTAATGACGGCGCGTTTAAAGAAGGTAGGAGCTGCGGTCGTAGCGCGTGCGGCCTCGATTATGGTGCATGGGATGGGAAGTTGGCGAGGGGCTCTATAGGTACGGATGAGCAAGGGCTGCTGTGCTTTCATGTTGTCCGCTAGGACGGTGCATACGAATCTGTAGCAACGACGCTATAGTCATACACGCATGAGATGTAAGACTATGGAACGTACGTTCGGCAGACACCGTCTCCGGAGCGTGAGTCCACAATTCCTGCCATACTATCGTCGCCGTACTCTTTGACAATGGTCTTCACGGCATCCTCCAAGTTCGATGCCTTGTACCTGCCATCCGGTGCAAGCCCATTTTTGGTTTGCGAGAATACCTTCTTGGACAGCTTCGCATACGCCTGGATAGCGTCGTCCACGGACATACGAAGACGGCCCAGCATCAGAGCGATGAGGCTGTGGGTGAAAGCCGAGAGTATAAGCGCCCAAATATCGATCGTACTAGCGCGACGAAGACTCACCCTCCAGTACTCGTACCACCAATGAGGTCGAAGACTTCGCAAGGGAGAGGTTCTGTAGGGAGTTTTTTTTCGTCTTGAATCGAGATCATGATGCTCTTGAGGATGAAGAGTGTCGACAATCCGCGTATACCTCCACCATCTGGACTCGTGAACCATCAATATCGCCGAGCAGATATCAGAAGCACGTGAGAACGTACCGAGTGCGAGAAGATTAAGACCCTTCTCCTCTCGTTCGTCCATGACCTTTCTATGGAGGAAGTAAAGGGATAGCACAGTGAGACGAGAATGAGAGTCGTTGATGATGAGGGCGAAGGGCAAAGTCTTCGAGGTGCTCTGGCGCAAAGAGTTACACGGCACAGCCTCAAAACCATTTATTTATCTAAAGTTAGAACATCATCTTTGGGCCCACGTCTTCGCCCTCCCTGACCCTAAAACCTCAGAGCCAGATCCTCAGGCCGGTGCCTCTAATTCGAGTCCCTCAAAAACTCCATCACAACCCTTCCTCCATTCCGATCCTGTACGTCGTGGATGAGCGTGGAGATGATAGGAAACGTGATATCGAAAAGGCGAGAAATACCACAATGCTCGCGAGCGCGAGCTTACTCTGGCTCTCTTCAGGTGAAAGAGACACGAGCACACAGTAGGGTTACTCACGAGGAATAACAACACCGCAACCCAACAAAGGACGAGTTGAGGACGACGCCGACCACTGTCCATCCAAACACGTATCAGTCTAAATCCAAATTCAAGCACGGACAGGGAGCTGAATACACGTACCTGTGAATTGGGTTCGACTTGGTTGTAGTAGCTATCGTTGTTCAACGAGATAGTGAAGAATTGAATCACAAAGATGACAGGAACAAAAGGGGGGAAAGTCCACCCAGGCGGAGCAAGGTTCGCAATACCGTCCTCGCCGAGACTCGAAACAGGCGCAATGGGAAGTGTCACAAGAACATGCCTCTCAGCATAAGTCCTCTTCATCACTAACGCATGGCACAACGTCTATCCGTTCGTACACATGAAGAGAAAGAATGCAGCTTCCTCTACGGTGTACTACTGCTGCACTATCCAGCTACAGAATGAGGACAAGCCGGATCCTCGGCAACGCATATGGTGTCATGGCGCGTACAGGCTCGCTCGTAGTGACACCGCCCTCGTGTAAAGTTCTCGACAATACGTAGTCAAGCAATGGGCCCAGGTAAACGTCTGGCCATGTTGCGCTGTGCCTGGTTCAGGCAAATCGAGAGAGGAACGGATATGTACATCGCGAGTTTGACGGTTTTATCCAGCCGTTCGTCATCGACATCGGTTCACCGTGGAAATGATGATTCAGGAATATCATCCTGACAATGAACCATAGTCCAGGGTACACGGGATATTACCACGTGCATACGCCTTTGGATGGGGACGTAGATGTATTACCCCGAAAAGACGAGTGGTGGGCGTAGGATTCTGATCACGGTTAGAGCTAGAGAGAAATGCGTTTATGCGATCTCCATCGCGGCAGACGTCGCGAGGAAGAGATCCCCCAGTCATTCGTCCTCGACATTCTCAATAAGCTGATGGCTATCGACCTTAGCATGAGCCAAGGATCACAGGAGACGGGCGACGGGCGACGGGCGACGAAAAGACGAGCGGTGGGCATAGGATTAAAATCGTGGCCAGCGACAAGGCTGGAGATGCATGTATGCGTGTATGCGGTCTCTATCGGCGCTGAAGGCACCAGAGCGGGACATTCTCTAGGCGGGAGGAGGGACGCAAGGAAAGAATAAAGAATGGGTATATGCGTTCATATGCATTTAGATTTGAGCGCTGGAGAGACGTGCTGTATGTGCATGAACGCGTTAGAGTGATCAGCATACATGAACAAAACGAACAACGGCAAGGGTGGATGTATGCATTCAGATGAGCTGTCTCCTGACTACTGATGGCGGTTTATATGCATCGCTTGGAGGGAGGAAAGAAAAACGACGAGCGAATCGTAGTCTACCCTGACAAGGTATGGATCTGAGGCATAGATAGGTGGGCGTCCATAAATCAGATGCAGTGTACGCATTCAAAACATGAACATATGCTCAAGGTGCTCTGGAATGGGCGTGTCATCCTTTAGAGGGACCACATGGTTTCACCATACCTTTCGCAGAAGTCCAAGGGCGTACGGATACACCAAGATGGACAGATCAAAAGAGGTGAGAGAACGAGGCATTCAAAACGCCGTACACAGCATAGATCATTCCCATCGCCAGAGACGACATCCAGCATACATACAACAGGATGCATGCACGCATTCTGTCAGCCTACTCGTGTCCTGGCTAGAACGAGCTCGAATGCTCGCCATGATGGAGAAGCGAACAAGAAAAATGGGCCACGATGCGCTAAACCGAACTGGATGTAGCCCGAGCGCTATTTTTGAACACGCTGGAGAAAACGTCTTCGGCCGGAGCGCAGCAAAGAAGTGAAAGAACGAGGTCGGGTTTCCTAAGCCAAGCGCAGCAGCACGGAGAGTCTCGCAGATGAAGAGTCGCTCTCGCTACTCTGAACGACGACGAGAGACTGGAGAGGAACGACGATGACGGCGTTGATGACGACGGGACAAACGACGGCAGGCAGCCGCCTACTAACTCCGCACGGCGTCGAGTGCCCACCGTTCCCACGTGGTCGCTTCTATCTTTCCCTTGGTGGCTAGCGGCTAGCCCGTACGGTGTCGGCCTCACCCTTGTCGTTCGCTTTCCCCTTCTCTCTTTTTCCCAGCTAGCTAGCCAGCCAGCGCGAAGGACGACGACAGCCGCGGTCGACGTCGAGGACGAGCAGCACAAGCGAAAATGTCGGGTCCAGGTCGCCGCGAATCATCGTCGTTCGAGAGCTCGTCTCGAAGCTCGGGAAGCAGCAGTGGTGGTCGCAGCGCCGAGCCTCCTCAGCATCAGGAGCATCATCCCCAGAGTACTTCTACTAGTACTGGCACAACGTCGCCTGCGTTATCCGATGAGCCAGCCCCGGTGCCCTTCCCTCGAAACGACAGCCCCAGTCCGCCTACCCCACGCACGCCCTCTACGCCCTTTTCCCCTGGCCAAGATGCACCCCTTCTGACGAACAACTCCTCGCCCGATGCTTCGCCCCGTTCTCCAGCGCGGACGTTCTCCACCGGCGCCTTCATCTCCTCGCCTCTCAACCCGAACGCACCCCATGGCGCAACCAGTCCCAACCCCGCCGTCAACAGATCCCGACCAGGCTCGCGCAGCGGCTCTATGTATCTCAATATGGACAGGATCGCATCGGAGGAGTCGCAGGCTTTGGGATCACAGACGCCACAACAGACGCGGGGATCCATGATTCTCTACCGACTCGCTTCCGACGAGGAGTCCGCTCTCGGGGCTGGTGCAGGTCTGGGAGTGGCAGGCTCAGAGCTACAACCTCCCCGTCTGAGCATGTTGAATCGTAATTCCGTCGTTTCGACTTCCGGCGACTCCATCTGGTCTCTCTCCTCCGACTCCAAATACCCCAACGCCGTCCTCGGCGGGACCACCTCCGTCCGTGCACGCGGCCTCGTACCCTACGCCTACGACCCGCTCGACACGAAAGAAGTCGCAGACGACGAGGAGAACGGCGGGCTCGACCCGATGCACGAGTATGCCGTCGGTGAAAAGGATCGTTATGAGCGGCGGTGGATCACGGCGCGGGGGGTGTTGAATGTGGGCGTGCTGGTGTTGTTGGTGATGGCGCTGTTGGCGCTGTTCATTGCGTATCCGGTTATTACGTTCGTTAGGGATAATGCGAGGAATTTGTTGATTGCGGAGAGTGGGAGTAATACGGGGGGTGTGGTGGGCGGGGAGGAGGATATTAGCCAGTGCGTATTTTCTTCCCTTTCTCTTTTCTTTTCTTTCGTTGTATGCGTTTTGGTTCTTACGGGGAACACGCCCACCCCCACAGATTCTCCGTCCCAACCCTCATCGACCCCGACACCCCCTCCTCCGCCCTCACCCGCACCGGATTCGACAACGAACCCTACACCCTCGTCTTCTCCGACGAATTCAACACCCCCGGACGCACCTTCTACCCCGGCGACGACCCCTTCTGGGAGGCCGTCGATCTCTGGTATTGGGCCACTAACGACACGGAGTGGTATGATCCGAGACAGGTGACGACGGCGAATGGGAGTCTGGTGATTACGATGGAGGAGGTGCAGGTGGGGGAGGTCGTGGGGAGTGAGGATGACGGGAAGGCGTGGGATGGGACGGAGGGGTTGCCGTATAGGAGTGGGATGTTGCAGAGTTGGAATAAGGTGCGTGTTGAGACTGTTGGTTTAGTTGTGTTCTGACGACGGGTCCATAGTTCTGCTTTACGAGTGGGTATGTCGAGGTTAGTATCACGCTACCCGGTCCGAATCAGGAGACGACGGGATACGTGAGTCTTTCCACTCTTGTTCTTCATATCTTCATCGACGATTAATTGGATGTATGATATAGTGGCCCGGCATATGGACAATGGGCAATCTCGGACGACCCGGCTACGGAGCGACGACAGACGGCCTATGGCCTTATTCGTACGTTTTATATCTCTCACCCTTTCCTTCTTGACTAATATATCCCATTCCACCCTCCCTCCTCACCAAACAGCTACGACTCCTGCGACCTCGGCACCTTCCCCAATCAAACAACAGCAGATGGGTCAGGCCCAGCCGGGACGTTGGAGACGACGGCGAGCAGCACGAAGTGGGATCATCATTTGAGTTGGTTGCCGGGGCAGAGGTTGAGGTGGGGTTTCTTTTTGCTTCGTTTTTTTCTTCGTCGATGAGTCTTTTGTTTTTCGGTGGGGGTGAGGATTGGGCGTTTGGGTATGAGTGAGGGAAGGTGTTGCGTTGGACGGAAAAAACGTATGCATTGATAGGGAAGAGAGTATGATATCCTGGAAGGGGTGTACGCGGAGATGAGAGCCGAGATACGCAATGGACGCATATATGCGTTCGAAGAGATCAGGACGGTGGTTCGTGATCGTCCTGATGGATATACGTGTTGTTCTCTCGATAAAAGCTTATCCTCCCGCAGGGGTCGTACTCAGACCCAGCGCTCGACTCGTAACAGATCTCTCCACCGTTTAGCCTTACCTCACGATCTATCGCCTCCCAACACCTCACTAACCCTCCCTCCCTCCTCCCTCCCCACAGCTCCTGCACCTGCCCAAACGAAGACCACCCCGGCCCCTTCTCCTCCTCCACCAACACCTTCCGCGGCCGCGGCGCACCCGAGATCGACGTCCTCGAAGCCGAGCACAATAAGCTGAACACGCAGACGGGCCAGGTCGTGAGCCAGAGCGCGCAGTTTGCGCCGTTCACGCATGATTATCTGTATAATAACGCGACGACGGATCAGTTTGAGATTTTCGATGAGACGATTAGTTGGCCGAATACTTATAAGTGAGTTGTTCGGTTTTTTGTGCATTGTGGCATTGTGGGATGTGGAATGGGGTGTGGTGCTGATGTGTTAATTGCGTGGGTGTGGAACAGGGGCTCGGCGATTCAGCAGGCGGTTTCTGCGCTTACGCTTACGCCGTCCGATATGTTCCAAGGCTCGGGACAGCAGTTCACTACTTTCGGTATGTATTCTTTTTTTTCTCGTTTGCTTACAACAATCACTGACTTACCCTTGTCAATGTTTCTTTCGCTTGCACCACAACTCGGCGACCTTATCCAGGATTCGAATACTGGGCGAACCCGTCCCAGCGCGACGAAGGGTTCATCACCTGGATGGCGAACGGGGCAAAGACGGCGAGGATGAGCGCGGCTGCTGTTACGGCTGATCAGGGCGACGGGGGGAGTGGGGTTGGGGATCGGTTGATTCCGGAGGAGCCAATGGTGCGTTTTCATTTTTTCTGTTCATTCAGTGGGAGGGGATGTGCTGATTTTGATTTCGTGGTCGATAGGCTCTCATTATGAATCTTGGAATCTCAAGTACGTTCTCCCCGCTGTTCTTCACCCCATTCGTCGTAATCGTAATCGTGCTCATCTCGTTCTCGTTCTGTGTTGACGTCCAATAGCGAACTGGCAAACTGTCGACCTGAGCACGATGGAGTTCCCGGCGACGATGCTCATCGACTATATCCGCGTGTACCAGCGTACGGACTCGCAGAACGTGGGGTGTGATCCGAAGGATTATCCCACGGCGGATTATATCGCGAAGCATTCGGACGCTTATAATAGTGCGTGTCCTTGCTTTTTCGCTTCTTTCGTGGTGGTCGTAGATGAGGGTGGTGTTGACGATTCTACTGCGATTGTAGACCCGCAGTTGAAGCACTGGACGACGGCCGACGACGGGAGTGGGTATAATGCCACTTTCCCGAGGAATCAGGCTGTGAGTCCGAGTGATCTACCTATGCTTGGTTGATTTTTGTTTGATGCTGATTTTTCTTGGTGTTTTTGTAGTACTACGGGAGCTGTTAGTCAACTTCGTATCATGGGATCCCCCCACCTCTCGTTCGGCCTATCATCCCTCGCCACCAACCCAACACCGAACCCACGCCGCATTCGCATTCGCATCCGCATCGCGCAGCAAGCACCCCGCTGGCTCACTGACAACTCACCCACTCACTCATCGTATCATTCCCTTCTTTCTTGTACTCTCGTTCCTTACTCTATATCCACGCCCGGCCACTCGGACTTATTTCCTTTTCCGCGCTCGTTTTCGTCCCGTATATTCTTGGTTTTGTCCCGATCGTTTCGTTCGTCGGCCCTAGCTCGTTACATCGCCGATGTCTGTGTCTGTGTTATTACCCCTCGCTCGCTCTCGCTTCATGTCATCTTTTCTTCTGTTTTGTACCCCCTCAACCCTCAATCCATTCCGTTCGCGCAGTCAAAACCCGCACACTTTTCTCTTTCGTCGCGCCCCGTTGTTCAATGCCACTTTCTTCATTTTTGCAACCCTTCAACCTGCAATCACGATATTTCACCCTTTTTATTACGTTCGATTGTTCTTTTTGGACATTACACTTTCGATTTGAGATTTGAGATTTATCTTCGCCGTAGCACTATTTATTCCCTCCGCCATCTGTCATCCATCACATCCACCCGCCACCGCCACCCACCCTCCATCAATTAGCTGTTACCCTCGCCACCCTCTCCTTCGTCGCGTCGTCCCCACTCGTCCGCAGCTATAGTTACCCATATACGCCCTGCTCAAGGGCTTGATCACTACATATGACCGTTATCATCGCTCTCAACCGGTTACCCTCCCCCCTCTCGGTTCGGTCTCGTCTCGGACGTTGTTCTTATTACATACCGCCACTCCTCCGACCCTCCTACCCTCCAACCCTCCTCCTCATCGATGTTTCTTTTCTTGCGTTACCCGTTCGCATTTGTATGGCATAGAGTCATGCGCGTTTCTTCTTTGGATGGACAGTCGATGTTATAGTGATATAGTGAGAATCATAGTGTTTCGGTCGTTACTCGATGGATTGAACAACGTCGGCTTCAAGACACTGGATGGAGCCGGCTCTGTGATGAGATATTCTGGTTATTGCATGGCCGAACGAGGGAAGGTGGGTCTATTCTGAACCGAGCTATGTAGTGAGTTTATTCTGATACTCTGTTCTGAGGTGAGTCTATCTCGCTATTCCCAGAATATTGTTCTTGAGCTGATGAGAGTCCTCGTCTCATCGTTTCAGGATATGCTCGTGGTTCCGATCCGGTGGCAAGTGGTAAGTCTGGCATTCGCAGCGTTGGATTCGGGCGAACGAGACATCAGGGTATCCGCGATAGTCGTGCTCTGCGTGCACCGTCAAAGAGACGTCTCATTGTTGGATGAATGGGTTCGTGTTGCAGGTGGATGCTGCTCGGTTTCGGACTGTCCTATGTGGTTTTCGTCACGGGTGCATCTGAGCTCAGTCGATGGCTCTACACGTATAGATATCCTATGACGCTCATCTTCAGCTAAAGGCTATACTAATACAGCCTTCCTCATAGAGTTGTTCTCAACCGCGGCTTGGGGTAGAGTTCGGGACGAACGACGAGCCTGTTCTCCTTGGAGTGTGGGGCGATATCCGCAAAGGACTATATAGTCTATTCTAAGGTAAAACGAGCTTACGTTATTTCCGTTCTGGAACTGACGAAAACGGTTCACAGGCCATATCCTCTCCTTCGTCGTTCTAGGACATTCCGGTGGTTCCGATGTGAGGGTAAGTTGGTTCCTTCTCACGTACAGGTTTCGTGGTATCCTCGTGACTTGTACATACTCAACATCGGGAGGTTCTTTAGCGTCAATTGGGATACGAATGGCTGGGGCAGGTCTCCCTTGGGGTGTACTCCAACTCTGATAGCTTTAGATCTTTCGGAATGCCGAAGTCAGCTCCATTCTTCACCCTCGCAGATCGTTGCAGTCGAAAAAGAATTGCATCCTTTGAGACATCTGCGAGCATCACAACGTGAAAGACCTAGGCCTTGTTCCTCAACTATCTGAGCATACAACATACGCGTTCGGTGCGATGTCGTGCTTGTCTTCGTCCAACTTTGACGGACTGTCGGTGGTCTTGTGAGTCCTTATCTTTGTTCACAAGTTAATTCGGATCAACGAGTGCCAATCGCGCCCTTTATAGCCCTCTCTGTACCCGTTGAGTCCGGTGCTCACACTCCTCCATCTGATCGTATCGGTGGGATTGCACCCACGACTTATGATCGGGCGACCGTGTACTCAGACTTCATGAATGAAGTGTATTCTGCCTCGCGAGCCAGAGCCTTTCGTTCAATTCCCTCGTGGGTGTTGTTATTATTGGACTCATTTCCCAAGTGTTCGCCTTGGCGTACGACAATAATTCTCCGGGGCTTGTGCCCCACACTATTTTTGCCTATATTCTCTCACTGTTTGCGCTCTTTATTTCGGGCCGTCAGCAGGACAACATGTGGCGTCACAGCAAGGGGTGGCATGAGCAAGAATCCACCATCCCAGAACACTACGTCGAGGAGCGCTATCCAGTCGTCGACTTGAAGGAAGGGGCTAATTTAGGAATTCACTCCAACATCCTTGCGTTCCAGCCCTCTTCTCCTTCGCCAATCCCGTCAGAAGTGCCATGCTGACGCTCATCTTGTCATCCACAGAAGCCCTCACTTATCACCATGCTTTCGTCCGGAACATGCAATTCGCGAGTGTTCCATCCTTCAGAGCACCGATATGTTGCCTGAATGAAAGAGTACAAATACGCCTCAATCCATCGACGATCTTCTTCAGCTCAAGGTTCCCAAAGATCCTCATAGCCCCCTCGAGTCAAAGCTTCTTCGCTACTCTCGTCTGCTCATCCAGCCAACATGGTCTTCGCCGCCACTCTCCTCGTCCAGGCTCTCCTCGCCACCGCCGCACTCGCAGCTCCCCGCAATGCCAACAGCGGTCTCGCTCGTCGTATCGCTGAGCGTCGCTCTGGAACTCGTCAGTCCACGCCTATGGTGGCTTCCGAAGGCCCTGCTGCTCTCGCTGCCGCCAGCTCGAACGTCACCCACCCCCAGTTCAGCTCTAACTGGGCCGGCGCCGTTTTGGTTGAGGGTGCTGTAAGTAACCTCGCTGTAATTGCTCTCGATTCATCTTGCTGATATCCGTTTTCGTTTTGACGTTGGTCGTAGAACACCTTCAAGGGTGTGACCGGAACCTTCGTCGTCCCCACTCCTCGTGTTCCCTCCGGTGGAGGCTCTGGCACTTTTGCCGCCTCTGCCTGGGTCGGTATCGACGGTGATACTTGCGGAACTGCTATCTTGCAGACTGGTCTCGACTTCACCGTTTCTGGTGGTCGTGTCTCCTACGATGGTGTGTCTCTTCTAAAAACACTCCTTCACTTGTTTCTTCGTCTCAGTGCTATCGCTATTCTACATAGCGTGGTTCGAGTATTTCCCCGCCTTTGCCACCGACTTCACTGGCATCACCATCGAGGCTGGCGACACTGTCACCGTCACCGTCGCCGCTTCTTCCACCACCTCCGGTACCGCGACCATCACCAACGTCAGCCGTGGCCAGACCGTCTCCAAGGCTCTCACTTCATCCGCTCACCTCTGCCAGGAGAACGCGGAGTGGATCGTCGAGGATTTCGAGGAGGGTTCCTCCTTGGTCCCCTTCGCTGACTTCGGCACCGTCACTTTCACCAACGCGCACGCGACCACGTCTTCGGGGACGACTACCCCCGCCGGAGCGACCATCATTGATCTCGAGCAGAACGGAGAGGTATTGACGAGCGCTTCGGCGGGCTCTTCGTCGGTCACGGTCACCTACACTGCTTAAGCGAGGTATGTCGACTTGTGTGTGGTACTTCTGGAGACTGAATTCTGACTGTACAGTGTAGGCCCACTCCTTGATCCACCACTTCGAAATAATTCATTTTCTTCCTCCCCTTCACATATTTCCTCAATCTGTTTACTTCAGTATTGAATACACCCCTTAGGCTGTTCAACATTAAATTTACATCGTACCAAGGGTGAATATGCCTTTTCGGCAGACCCAACTGTGGTGTGGCACTGAGTGCCACAAAAAGTGGGTCCTTGATCCGACCCCGCACCATACGATCCCCCCTAAGAATATTGATGCAGGCTTGTTTGTGAGCTTTATATACCCTTCAGTGTCCTACCTCCGTATTGTTCAGGGTCAATTCTTAAGTTGAGGGAGCTGCAGGCAGCAGATTTGCAGCAGATCAAGGACCGGGGTCGGATCAAGGAGTGGGCCTACACTGTATGTCTTTCATAGGAACGTTCTTGGTTGTGGGCCTTCAGACGAAATCTGCTAAAGCAGTAGAAATGTGGACTCGATCTTTGGGCCTTGGGGTTTCGGAGACGGTTGTAGACATATGTATACTTTTTAACGACAATCATTGTGGGAATTTTGGAACGCATCACAGCCTTTAGCTTGTGTGTTGAGATTATCGAGTGAATCGTTAGGATCTTGAGGTACTTGATCACTTGGTTGTTTACTCGTTCGTCTTCCTCGGGGATGTCTCATAGTTCTTGGAGCTTGAGTATATGGGGATGCGTGATACAGAAGGACACCTCTGCCGCCATGTGGTTCACTTTGAGGTGTCAGTTTAGGATGCTCTCCAAGTCTCCTACTCGCCGACGACGATTATTTCGAGTTGCCCCGTACAGATTCGTGCCTTCTTCGACTTGGGATCGACTAAGCATCACCACATTCTGACTTGAGAACGTGGTCACTGGGCTTGTCTCTGGACGGGCCTCCGGTATATACCAGGATATGGGGATGATCGAGGTAGCAAGTCCGATAGACCCTTTTCCTATCGTGTTCGGCATGAATCATCTCGCCGTCGACTTAGAGTGTGGTGAGCTCAAACGAGACATTAGACATTCTGTACAGGAACTTCGTCGTTGGTTGATAGTATCCTGTTTTGTAAATACCATGTCTGAATAACGTACGAAAAAGAATGGAGGTGGTTCAGACGCGAAACAAAGAGCGTGAAAGTCTGTCCAGATGATCAAGTCCAGGGGGCAGGATGCTACGATAGATGGGCCAAGGAATAGTCGGAGGGTAGCGTAAGGAGGAAAAGACGGCTCGAGGCGACGAAGTAAGGACCTAAGAATGATATCCGAAGAAATGGATACGATAGTACGAGGCGGCCAAGGCGCGAGCGGTTCGGTCCAAGTCCTGAGTATGTTACAGTGCGATGAAGTCTAATGTTCTAGGATGATCGTATGTCGTGAGGGTGATGATATAAGTAACGATGCGATGAAGTCTAAAGCTCTAGAATGGTGGTATGTCGTGAGGAGGGATCATATAGATACAAGAACGGAAAAAATAATATATGATTGTGGTGGAGGATATTCAGAGGGCGCATGATGCAATGGAGAACAAAGAATGAGAGCGTAGAGGAACTTGGCGAGAGGTCCAGGTGCTAGGGACCATGATATCGCGATGAGAGTGAAGGATATGAACAGGGAGAGAAGACTGTAACGACGGTAAATAAGACCAAGACACCAGACGGAGAAGGCGGGCGTTGACCATGGAGAGAGAATCATGACGATCAATACCTTACTCAAAGGCTGAAAACGCCGCTCTTCCTCCTCCGGCTTAGAATAGGGTTCACAATGACGAGCGAAATACTTAACCCAACCGTCAATCCGATTGCCACCGAGATGAGCTGCAACGCAACTTGGAACCCGGAAAGGTAGGATTCAGAGTAACCTTGTGATGCTTCGGAGGCGAAGTGCAGGAGACCGTTGTTGGATAGACCGGAGGGGAGTTGGAACAGAATGCCGGTGATCTGGGTAAATGTGATGCAATTCAGCGTTGACGAGGATGCCTATGCATACAGGCAGCAAATATACAGACCATGACAACAAAAGCATTTCCCTTGAACATCTTGCCGTACAGGTTTGATATGAACCCGACTGCGAAGCCGCTGGGGTGTTACGAGGATTAATCCAAATGCACCGACGTCGTTGATGGTGAAATAAAGCGGAACAGACACGTACCCCACAGCTGCGCTAACATCCAACTGGTTCACGAACACACGCGACATGAAATGATTCGTGGCCCATCCTATGCAGGAGATGAGGACGAGAGGAATCTACGACGCGAGTACGACTTGAGCCACATACATATGTCGTGTTGACGAGAGTACTTACGATTTCTTTCCGATTCCACGGAGCCATGCACCTCAGGCTCAGAAACACAGAGAACATTGGAACGGTCAAGAAAGCTGGTCGTACATTAGCGTTAATTTCCATACCAGAAACGAACGGAGGACGCACCCCAATGTGGCGACGGTGTCTTCCGATACCACAGGTCCTTGCGGTGGCTCTGAACGCAAGTATAGTCTTCAATACCAACTATGTTCGTGTGTGTCGAGCGTTGGTAAATTTGGGCACCGAGAGCAAGACCGAAACCAAAGAATAGAGAGAATATGATGGCGAACCCCACACGGACGGCGCCAGCGACGATTTGCCGAGAGGCGAGCTCGAGGGAGCCGATGAGAACGATGAAGCCCTAGTTTTAATGAGTATCCAATATGCATGACGAAAGAAGAGCGAAGTTGGTGTGGGAAACGTAGAGATACTTACGGGTAGGATGAGGACGATAGAGCTGGAAACGATGGCCGTGTAGCAGAATACCCTGGATGCAGATAGAGCCCCACAAAGAAAGCTCATCAACGTTGTCATGGTGAGTCTAACAGCCAGAACGTGCTCGTGGTGAGTAGGAAGTTCAGATACGGAAGAAGAGCCAGAGAGAGAAAAAATTGAACGTACTCGAACACGTTTGAATACAGCTCGTTCTTCGCAGCCATAAGCTGGACAAATACCACAAACGCCCCCAGCGGGAAAGACATCAGGCTATCGACCAAACTTCCGCTGAACCCCAGGCTGCAGATACTCGCACTCGCCATCCCCCCAAAGAAGATTATCGCCGGCATTCCATAAATAGATTTTGCCAGCATCAACCTGTCCAGCTCCTTGCTCGCCTCGCTCACTGAAATCTCATCGTGCGTGGCCTGCCAGTAAACCGTGTTCGTCTCCTGCAGTTTCCCGATATCGAGCTCGGAGGTTTGGCGAATGAGTTTGAGGAACGAGGTGCCGGTGCCGGGATCGTCGAACGAGACCAGGAAGACGTCGGGGAGGTACAAGCAGGAGATTGATAGTTCGAGTACGCGTGCCGTGGCTTGTATCTGCGCTTGAAGGCGGTGGGAGGGGCCCCCGAACATCATGAGCGCGCGGGCTAGTTTAAGGATGAACTCTTGCCGTTGTACAATCTCCGCGACGTGGTGTTTAATCTGTAAGCAGAGACAACTGTCGCGTCAGACGAGGGCTTCGAAAGAATACGGGATATGATCGAGAATATGGCACAAACGACATACAAAGACTGCAGCAGTGTCGCGTTTTCGCCTGCGCTCCTCCCTCCGCGCAGCCTTAACGCTCTCGTCCTGATCATCGATCCATGATGCCTTTTCGATATCCGGAGAGCCAACCCGTGTCGGCGGTTCAGACTCGTCTGAGTCCTCGTGGCTCCAGTCGAGACCAGAAAGTAGGGCAGCATCTACCCGAAAGTAAGTATCGAAACCGAAGGAAATATATTATATCAGTATAATCAATACTAGATGTTCGCTGAGAAAGTAGACAAGATACTCACGATGGCCATGGCTGTCCATCGGCAAACCATCTTCCCTCCTCGAATCATAGTACTGTAGTAGCATAGACAACATCCCGGCCTGTCCCCCACCCGTAGGCGCTTTCATCTCCTCGAAAAGTACCGGCTCGGGCTCCATAAGCATTCCTCCTCCTCGGACGGTCGTTGCCTTTGATTCCCGCTTAGACTCCTTCTTGACCTCCTCTCCGAGCTCTGAGATAGGCTGCATCGACGTCGGGTTCCTCTCCCTTGCACCTGAAGGTCTATTCTTCAATCCTCGAAATACGTTTTGAGTCTTTGAGTTAGTACTCAGAAACGAGGTGACACGTCTCGTGGATTCCTGCTCAGCGCTTCGGCCAGGTAAGCCGGCTCGTTCATTACGGTCGATATAACTCGTGCCGGGAATGTCGAATGTTGTTGAAGTGACCGTTCCGGGAGCGGAGACGGATGATACGGATGTGAGGGCGATGGAAGGGACGTGGTGAGGGAGTGGAGTGGAGTTTCGTGCGTGTGCGTGCATGGGTCGCCGCGATGGTGAGAGAGGTAACGAATGGCGTGAGTTCTCAAGTGTGGAAGATTGGAGAGCGGTGGTGAGAGTCGCGAATGCTGGAGACTAGACAGGTATTGTATAAATTGAGCTGGACAGAAACGAAGGCACAGAAAATAGTTGAAAAGAGTGTGCGTACGTCCTGACCAGCCACGTCAAGCTCCCTCCCCGAGGGATGCGGGTAATCGTGAAGAGGCAGTGATTCCAGTGATACTTTTGTTTCACGTTGGTCATTGTCGGACTTCGATCCTGGGGCATCGGCGTTCATACCCGTGAAAGTCGGCTCCAGTAGAACTGGAGGGACGGTCTGAGACGGCATTGGCCGCTAGGACAGAGAAAGAGAGGGAAAGATAAAGAGAGCGACAGACAGGATGCAAAGGAGAGGGGATAGAGGTGGGCAGAGACGAGAGAGGAGTAGACAGAGAGGAAGACGAGGCGTAGGAAGACGTTGAAGACGAGACGGAAGGTAGGAGTTCATTTAGAAGTTGATCGTAACGGTAAAATGGAGGAGCCCAGAATAACCTCGGTCTAGACAAGCCTTCCAATTCCTCGGATCGCAGTCGCACTAGAGTGACGGTATATTTCCTGTAAGTCCAGTGGACGAACGTGATCATAGCAATTCACCCCGAACTTGGAGTGAGTGAAAATTAGTTGATTTAGCTCTCGACAACGAAGAGGTGTACGAATACTTCCTACGAGCCCGCGGCCGAACTTGAGCACGATAATGCCAGATCTACTAGACGGTGTTTCGTAATGGAATACGATCGAGGGTGCCCAGCACAAGCGGCTCGCAGTGCTTCACAGGGCGCTCTCTGCTACGCCGAAAGGTGACTGTGGTAGGATGACATGGGATGACATGGAAGGATGAGCAAGGTTGCGAGAGCACAACAAAGAGACTGAGAAAAGAAAAGAAAATGAACGGCGCACGCGATTTACCGGACTTTTCCGGTGTGAAATTCTCACAACGCAGGTACTGCCTGCGATTCCTATGTAGAACTTTCAACCTCTTCAAGTTCGAAAGATCCTTTTGCTTCACTTTTACGTCAATAACGCCAGAGCCCTCTATTTTCTCTCATCTCTAGTCGAATATCTGACATCCAACACATTCTCTAGCCTATCCTCCTTGCGTACCGCCCAAGACTTCAAGTACCGCCTGCGCATCTGCGAGACTGTGCCCCACTTTTCTCCCAATTGTAATGCTACTTATATCTTTTGCTAGCTAGTGGCGCGTTGTATGTGGCGTTTTCAAGCAATTTAAATGCATCAAATAAGACCGTAGAAGTGACCACTCGAGTGTTTCCGCGTGGTCGTGGCGCGACGGCGATGAACGTTCAGTTATGTCGGAGTTTGTCTGAGCCTGATCCAACAACAAGATTTTCTTCCTCCGCGACTTGCATCTTGCCACCACTATATCATTAACCCTTCAAATTTCTTCCTTTTTTCATGTAAAACGCGACCAAAAGGCGCAAAGGCTGTTTCATGCGTCCCCAGTACGCCACCTCATATCCCCGAGGGATGCACAATTGACGCCTCCTCGTAAGTCATGTATATTACATCTGTTCGGGCCTGTGCACACTTCCATCAATGAAACGGATGAGCCGTTGCATCCGCTAACATCAGGACTAGATGGAACCACAGCGATTCTAACCGTTCGGGTCACTTCGGACAAAGCTTACCATCTACAAACCTCGCCCTACGTTGCGTTCATCGAGCTCTGCTCGCGATCATCATCCTTGGCTTAATTTTAATTACGGTCACTGTTGCACGCAGTGAAGAATGTTCGTCGTCTACTAGAGGCTACCGACATCGCTTGACGGTGATCTGCAACCTCTTCCCACGCGAACCAAGAGTTTCTATCGCCCTCATAAGTGACCTTGCCACATATCACAGTGGGAGATAGCAGTCGAATATAGGGCTCGAGGCCTTGGCCCAACCGACTAGCCAGTAGTCGAATCAGTTGTATCCTGAAACATAGTCGAGGTAGACGTACCACACTGCCAGCAGTCTAAAAGATGATCTGGGTCGCTGTACACATCGAGTTCAGTTTGAGATACGCATACCCGACGAAGAAACGATAGCACCCACTACTTCTTCTTTATTGCCAATAACTCTTCGTAGTTGCTTCCCCAGAATGACACTGCAGTGAATGTCAGCAGAACTAGAGCGGCTTGAGCACGTATGTTGTAGACTTACCCTGAAAGTCAGGCTCGTATAGGTCCGCCTCGTTCTATTGAAATCAGTCGGTTGCTTTACTAAGACGACAATTGACAGGACATACCGGGTACGCACCGGATCCGACTGTGATCTCTCGAAGAGGACGAACGGCGTCCGATAGTGACTTGTATGTAGCTGACACATCGGCCACCGTACTGTTGAAGTTCCACTCAGCGGCGATGACAAACTACGGGCGAAGTCAGCTTGTGGTCTTTTTGAGTAAGTAATAATTAAGGATGTCGGCACATACATGCCACAAGGATGTCCTCCATGCAGATGTTACACTGGTTCCAGGATTGTCCCCGTATAAAAAGGGTGTCGTTGCAGCAAGGTACATGAATGGAACAGTGTCCAACATTCCATTGATGACGGACGCGAGCTCTTCGCGGCTCGCGTCCGACTGAAAGTTGGTCAATGGAATGAGACGCGATGAAAGCGTGAACTCGGTTCCAACAGGCTGGTACCAATCCATTTGCGTCGGTCAAAGAATGCCTACGTCATGAAAGAAAGATGCTCGACTTACCTGAGCCGGTTCGAATTTATCGAGAAAGGACTTGTAGCTTGGCTCCACTACGAAAGTGAAGTTGCCATTCAGCTTTTCTACGATGAACGACCGAAGGGAATCAATGGAGTCCAGAGCTTCGCTACTATTTAGCACGCTGTTGGCGAGTATGATACTACCGGTGATCGGCTATATAAACAGGCATGTCAGCGTAGATACATGAAGAGGCAGCCAGATGTTCTTTACCGCAATATATCCACCCCATCCTGTGAAGTCCCAGAGCCCCAAATCAGCGAAGTAGGAGTATAACATAAGCGAAGAATTACACGCGCACCATCTTGCGCAAATTGCACTGTATGCTTTACTATGAACTCCACAAACCTTTTCTGATTCTCACGCACAGGGTCAAAAGAGACCTGGACTCTGCGTGAAACTGTGAGTCACCCCCCGCAGGGAGCACAGAGCTGAATCCGAGGACTTACGCGTTAACGTGCATCTGAGGAAGCGCTAACGTAGTAACAGATAGAACTGTTCCAAAAGTCCCACCCCCTCCACCGCGCAAAGCAAAGAAGAGATCGGCGTGCTGGCACTTGTTTGCGAGAACATGTAGTCCTGAGGGCGTGACGACCTCAAACTGGAGCTATGTTCGAATCAAAGCCATTCAGTGTCGAACCCAAATGAAGTATGAGAAACAGACCACTCTATCGACGGCCAACCCTAGCGTATTAGATAGTGCACTGAAGCGGGTAGGTCAGCATCTTTGCATGTGCCAATTCTCCAATGCACCGACCTGTGACCTCCTCCCTAAGCCGTTCTATTCAGTATCTTAAGCTTCATGGCATAAGTCTCTGGGTTTACTCACTTGTAGATATCCGCCTGCTACTCCTACGGTAGGATCAGCGCCGGTCGGGATAGTGATGTTGTTGGCTTCCGCAAAATCGACGGCAGTAGAAGCCAACACTCCAGCCTTTGAATGTATGCGAGCGTCAGGGTTGGAAACAAAGCGGGATAAAGTAAAAAAAAAACAATCAGACTGACCCCGAACGTGACTGCCTCAGCCTCCTCCGTGGAGTTACATCCATTGGGCACAAAAGATTTGTTGAGGGATATCTAAATACGGTGTTCGATGGGAGCGTTCCTCGGCAGTTTCGGTAGGATGGCTAACCGATTGAAGATTGTGCACCTGTTGAGACGTAGTGTTGCGTAATATGAAGTAGGGAAGCCACCGTTGACAGAAATATCCACGTACCCAAAGTGCAAGAGAGTTGGGCGCGCTACTCCGACCCTTGTAATCGTGCTATTCGTTTGAATTTAGTGCACATCCTACGATTGGAGCAGATCTACCGTACTTACCCCGGTGTTCTTGATAACGAGGGGCATAGAGTGCGCCTTTGAGAAGTTATAGCCGGCAAGTACGTTCTCAGCTGTCCGTACATCGATCTAACCCATTTGCGAGCAGGTTGATAAATGTATGTCGTAGTGCAAGGCCAAAAATAAATTGCGCACCCCATACTCCGGAATGCTACCCTGACTGCAGACGTGTGGAATGTCGAATGCATCTGGGTTGCTGGGAATCGAGGCATCGAGGAGACATTGGCTCATCCTTGTTTGACACGTCTCCCATTGTGTCTTCGTAGTCAGCATGAAGTTGTCATTGTGGGGTCAAGTGGTTAAGGAGTGGAATTGGACTGACGTTCATATACGCGGAGAAAGTGTCTACGCGGACGGCTTTGAGAGGAAACCGATATTAGAACACGTAGATAATTCAATGGATGAAAAGTAACAAAATACACTCATTGAGATAGTCTTGAATTACGATGGAGCACTTGTCCGCATCAAAAGTACCGCTGGTCTGGTTGGTGAGCTGGAAGCAAGGCCGGGCGAACGGGACGCCACGAATCAGCCTGCCTTGAACAGTAGCATTGAGTGCATTCCACTGTGTGCTCGACTGCTCGACTGATATATCCACGAGATATATGAAGAGGAAAGTGAGTCGTCCAAATCTGGATGACCCCATTATAGCCGCCCAAGGACAAGTCGCAATGAACAAAGCGCAACTACTTCACTGCTGGGGCGTTATATATACAAAACCTTCCCTCCTTAAGTCACCCACGGCACTGAAAATAGAATTGATCAGCAGACAGTAACAAAATTCGACGTGGGCTTAGAGCGGGAATCCTGAATGTTCCACGAACGCCCAGCACGAAGTCAAGACCTCATCGGCATAGAACTTCCTCAACCGGTGAAATCGTTGATAATGTCTACGAATTGGACTAATATACGTTGCTTCGTTATGAACGGACCGATAACATGTAGAGCTCGTGGTACGCCCATGGGCAGGAATTGGACCAGATCATCACCCAAGACGCAGTACGAGGCACATTATCCCCAACATCCGATGTATATCCGAGTGCCAAGCCGCAGACTGAGCATCAAGACATCCCGACGTGGCACTCGTTCGCATTTTACTTCCTCTTGTCGGTTCAGATGGCTCAAGATGTGCTGTAGATTCCCTAGAATCTCTTGCACTGCGGTAGAAAACAATAGACATAAACCAAGTTAAAATAGATCAGCCCTCAAGAGATGAATATAGTTGTGCAACTAACGCCACCAGAACCCCCGGACGTTATGGTTGCCAAGTTTTGGATGTTCGAGCGGAAACAACGCAGAGCAAATACGTGACCGAAGAGAGGAGGGATGATGTACTATAAGTTCAACACGATGGATTCGTCCATCTGTAAAGGCGCCCCTGGACCGTCACCATACACAGCCGTCGCTTCTCGCAGACAGTTCGTATTCATGAATCATGGCCAGGCGCGATATAATCCTCTGAGTAGAGTGTGTGTGCGTCGTCTGGTATAGATGACGGTGATGCTTCCAGTGAGTTCCATGTAATCAGTGAGGGTTAAGCGTCAGAAGTTCAGAGCTGGTGAGCACGGCCATGTAGTAGTGGAGGAACAAAAAACGAATGAAAACTGAAAGACGCTTGTGCAACTCCGCCCGTATTTCTCCGGAGCCGACGTGCCACATCGTCAAAATCGGGCCAGTCGCCACTGCTCTTGTCGTTGGCTTGTCGTCAGCTCGTCGCCCTTGCTCTCGCTCCGTCTGCTCTATTCTCCGGGCTGACCGCTGGAGACGAATCCTGCCCGGAAAAGACATATCCACCGATGTGAACACGGCGTTGACATCACAATAAACAGGAATACGTGGACAGCAACCAGGGTGACGAAGAGGGTAGTGAGAGCCCACAGCTGGCGGTAACGCTGAAGCTGTTGAAGGATACGGCGGGCGACAACGAGGTCTGTCTCCTCCCCTTGACCTTTTCTTCAATTAATCCCTGGTTTCTATGACGCTTTCATTCTTCTACGTGCACTCGCCTACTGCATACCTTGCAGCACATTGAAGCTTCTTGTTTCTCATACTTACCCAATGTTGTCTTACTATTCGGCCTCTCTTCGTCGATGCTGAGAAGTTCTTTTATCTGCAGAAGTTTTCAGGAAATTATGTACGCCGCAGGTGACTCTGTGGCTGCCTGAGATACTCTTTGGGACGGTGGAACTATTTCTCGATGCCGAATTTAGTACAGTCCCACATTCCACATTCCATGTTCATTTTTCGCGTTTCCTCTTTATCGGGGTTGTTCACCTGAGAACCCTACTGCTTCTCTTCCTCCTTCTCAAATCTCTTGAGGAACTCCCGTCGTATCTTGTATTTTACACACCATCCCATGCAGAAGATATGCAGACTGTCGCTTCTGCTGGGCTCGATGTATGTGGCGTTGATGGCCAATTGTTGGCATGGTCGACTATCTCGAGACTGGGCGTTTATTATCCTTTGCACTGGGCAATGATTCTCCGTCTCTCCTCCCATGTCGAGTCTACTGTCGACGATCGGCTGTTCAATTACCTGTCAAACACAGCGCTCGCATACACATTGTCGGTCTTCGAGTCATGTCGGCTCCGGTAACGAGCGGGTATTGGCAAGATCGAACCTTGTTTATCAATTCATCAAGTGCGTTATTCATACTTTCTGTCTACACATTGGGGCGTAACATCAACCCGGTATAAGGCCAGCGTTACGGGACTTCTATGTATGCCCAGACAGCCGCCGTAAACGCTACGAAACCGCATTCGTTTTGCAGAACCATTCGCTTCCTATGCTCTTTGTCGTTCCTTCGCAACTTTGTTCCCATTGGCCTCGAGAGCCGTTCGTTCCATGCATCATGCTGAATCAGATACAGTTAGACCTCTTTTTTTCGCCTCTCACGTCTCCTGTTTTGGGTCAGTCGTCTGATCCCTTCATGCACGCTTGTCGCTCTCTGCGCCGGCAATAATAGCCGTATTTACGCATGCTTCCTTGGTTTCATTGGTGGACACTTGACTATGGTTGATTACCGGTGGACTACAACAGTTTCATCGCCATTATGAACCGTTTGTCGTGGATCCTGATGATATTTTCTCGTTAATCTTGATGGAATTATACCCGTGATGACGAATCTAGTATTGGTGGTTCTTCTTGAGGACACTCCATACGTCTGTTTTTCCCTCGCCGTGGGGGACAAGGTTCCATCCATCCTGCGCACTGATATCGTCATGCGCCCTAGCATCATTTTCTTTCCTGTGAAGTAAATTGTCTCTCACTCATGTTGCTTTCTTCCTATCAGTGAACATATTATGCCAGCATGACAGGCGCATGTACTATACCATAAATGTACCGTCAATCACTTGGTTCTTAGCTAAGGTATGATCGCCATGATATACCGGCGCGATTTGTTCCCTCGACGCCCTTGACCTTGTTAATCTCCAAGCATTGTTCTGGATTATTCTTTCTAAGTTAGGTTAGAGTGCAAAAACGAGAATGTTGCCTCCACTCGAGTATGCCTACCGCCTGGATGGTGCTGATGGAATCTATCCTGCGTGTGTCATGCCCACCACAAATTCTCTTTTCGATTTAGTATATAACCTCACACCAGGGTCTAACCAGGGTAAAAACAGTGGAATATCTCTGCTAAAAGCTTCGTATTGCACCATGTCTATGGCGGCCTCTCTTGCAACTACATCTCATGTACTCTGGCCTCGGTAATAATTATTTGCTTTATGTTGAATGAATACCCCGTTAACGGTACATTTTTCACTCCAGGTTCGTGGATCATTGGACCACTGTGTCCGCAGTAGGTGTGTCCGGTTGTGCTTCCTAATTCATGATCAATTTAGAGTATTTAGCGGCCATGATAGCATTATGGTTCTACGATTACTTTGATACATTGCCTTCAGAGATCATGTATATCTGGTGTCAAGAAATATCTTGGACTTCGATTCTCTTCATCATCAACAGATATACCTTACTGGTATACCTCCTCGTCAGAGTCGCAATGCTCGCTAACGACCATATGCCGAACACCCTGTAAGCTTCTATTAATATCATCTTGATAAATAACACTCATGACCGTGGCAACAGCTGTAGAGAACTGACATACTTATGGGACATTGCATATGCTATATCAGAAATTACCACGTATGGTACGCTTTCCGCCACTGTCATCATGGTAGAATAACTCTAGATGACTTTACTCCTGCGCAGGAATACTCACCCTACGGGTTTGGAGTATCAGTGGACGACAGCGACGTGTCCTTATGATATGTATTCCACTGATAACAGTCATTATTGTGCTCAATCTTTTCGTGGGTATTTAGTCAAATTCATTCGTTTACATGCATGTAGTGACATGCACGTGCTAGACCATTTTCAGCTCGACTTCGCCCGTCGAAAATCCGAACTTGACCTCTTCCATTACAATGTTCGAGGGCTGCAGCTTCCAGATCAAGAATGCAATGACGATCAACAGGTACGCTGCGAGTGTTGTCTGTGTCAATTCCTAATATAAACAACGAAATGTTAGTTGTGCGTTTATTCGCACTTTTTTTAGGGACAATTATTGACAATGAAAAACCAGCATCCCTGGCTTATACAACAGCATTACTCGCACTGCAATTTTATGTATTCATCTTCACGATGATCAAGACATGGCATCATGTATTGGAGTCGCGTCGACTTGGTCTGTCTGGAGTTGCCTATATTATCCTAAGAGACGGTATGTCAAGTATCTAGAACCAGTCTTACTGAGACTGATCGAGGACATAGGGGTTATGCACTTTCTGTGAGTTGACTATTGTGGTATATTGTTACTATGCTCACTCATGCGACGAAGATTAATTACATCCGCACAGCTACTCCTCTTTCTTTTGATCCTAGTCAGGCGTTTTCTTCCTTCTCTCAGATTTGACTCGTGCTAAAATGACTTCGAAGATCAACACTGTAGACGCTAAAGTGACTATAATATTTTCTGATGGAATGTATACGATGACTGACTACTGCTTTGGTTACAGAGTGCCTATACGTCCACGCTGTGGATCAACGGTCTTAATATATATGCGAGCACGTAGGTCCAAACGTTCTTTGAAGCTGCGTTGGTAACTTATTACTATTAACATCACCGTGCGCAGATTACCCAACCTCGTGGTAAACCACTTGGTGTTGAACCTCAAGTCATATTCCCGCACGCACTGTGGAACACAAAGAGATATAACTATTATTTCCACACTAAGATTCACACGAAACATACATCTCGGAGATATAGGAGCACCACTGAATTTCTGCGAAGAGATGGATCCCTCTGTCAACAGTGATATCTCGGTAACCGAATCGGATGACGAGATCGAGACGCCAACATCCGCGGTAAGTTTATTGCTTTCTCTCGTATATTGGGGTTGTTCTCATAAAACGCTGCAGGTCCATGAGCACGGAGGCAGCGCAGACCTTGAGATAGTACTTGTCACCGATTAAAGCCCCACAATTGGAGTGCTGAATTGTGGTAACTGAGAATGGATGACGAAAGGAGTGGATCTGATTCTGCGTAAAACTTCGACCTATTTATGTTTTTCGCTCGGTGAAATGTATTGAGCTGCGAGTTCGAATCCGAAGGAAGCATCATATCTTACATCGATTAGGAGGATACCGATATCGCGAGCAAGGCACTGATGATGACTCATGAGGGTATTACTGGACTGTTAAGTGTATGTGGGCCTCCTCGTATGTTGAATGACCAGACCTGCACATCTGCAGTTTCCACGGGACTGGTCATTTTCCAAGCATGCGTTGACGACAGGCAGTGTGTCAGCAATAATGTCATTAACAATTGACGCTTTTCCTGAAGACGCCATCATGATCATTCTAATCGAGGAAAATAATCGCGATCCACACCTTCTCCCTTCATAGCTGCAACATAGCTTCACGCAACGTCGCATTCTAACAAACATAGGCCTTTGTTACTATATGGTCGTATAGACTAGAGAGGAGCACTGATGTAGAGTCCCCGCTCGACGATGTGACTGAACCTGAATGCCATTCTCTCTATCAGGGTTGGGAGAGAGTCAATAATCAGCCGGAAAGATGAGCGTGCATATTGGACAAACATTCAGAAGATAAGTCGGTGTAGACACTGCTGATGTAAAGTTCATCGTAACCATCCAGGCCACCGCGGGTGTTGTATTCATTGGGGATCTGTTGTTATAAACGAGAAATTGACGTCAAAATTGAGGATGCAGATGCTATTAGAATAAGCTAAAATCTGTGTGTTGTTTACATATGACTACACACCTTCACCCCTATCGTGGCGGACTGTACGGAAGTTACATAGCCGATGAAGCACAGAAGGGTCATAGCGGCAGATACAAAGAAGCCCATAGCCTTCACGCTCATAAAAGTATTCGTGTGGTTTGTAGTGGGTGACGACGTCAGGGTGAGGAATGCGAGATGATGTGTGCGCAGTACTTTATAGGGATATATTTCCGTTTGAATGCAAGTTCCAAGGATGCAAGTTCTATCGAGAGTACTATCGCGGCAATACGCAGGTTGTTTATAGCAAGCATGCACCCTGATGGAGACTGCACAGCCGACACAGGCATTGGATCGTCCAGGTCTTTCTGTGCTCCAAGTACCGATACTATAACCCAACATCTCACGCCCATACGTAGCTGAAGAATCACTTTCCATTTGCGTGTGACATCTTTCCCCAGAACATACCGTTGTGGGAGCTCAACACGAAATCATGGAAGTGGAGGACAATGTTTCGCCTTTTCGACTTCATTGGACTCCGTGTACAGCGGAATTCTTACAATGAAAGTCCAGACCTTGTATGTACTCACCTATAACCAAGCTTTGCGTGCTTCTCCGACCACGCTGTTCAACGATGGTGCGCTGCGAAAATCATATGAAGACCATCACTAACGTTCCCTTACATTTGTACAGTCATAGGAGAACACGGTGATACTTAACTAAGGAAGGGATTACCAAACCACCGTCGTCGAACTGTCCTATGATACATTTGACAGTGTCTTCGGCTTGTGACTATTTCATCGATTCAGCAGAAGGTGAGAACTCCAACTTCCCTTCTTCAACTACTACATCCTCGCTGCCCTAAAAATATCCTTGCAGCACAGCCGTTCCGTATCTGCTATGATTGACACGGTGAGCATGATATACGACAAATAACCCAAACGATCATCAATGTACGATATGTACAGTAGTGTCAAATTCGCCGTCCAGCTGCCGTTCCAAAGCCCACTCCTTCAGGGCGCCGAAATCTCTACACTCATGCACCACATCAAATGACGGGATGGACCTCTGTACCCGCTCATCCCAGTACCAAACATTGGGTGTAATATCCGCAGAGCATATCAGCGATTCACGAATCGAGTTGATGCAGTGCGCAACGTGATCAAATGGGACTTTGGCAAGGGGTTCTTCAAAGTTCATCTCTTGCGGGGCTCTAAGATCGACGAGGAATAGGGTCGAATTCATGGCTCCGTATCGGTCGGGATAGAGTGCTTGTCGTATCATGTTCTGACAAGAACAAAATGATTAGATCTGTGCACATACTGAGCGTGAAACAGCTGACGCACGAGACAATGAATTTGGTGCCAGACGTCGAGAGAAATGATATAGTTCTCTTCGTCACCTGGTATAGGGACAGACTTGTTAAACATCAATGACGCTTGAGCCCTTGGAATCCTAGATATTCCGACTGAAGAGCAGTTAGCGTTAATTTTTTGGAGAAGCTGGAGGGCGTACAGTTGTACAGATCGCGCCACGCTTGATCAACTTCGTCTGACGGTGACTCCATGTAGATATTTGTATCCAGAAGATGCGAAAACTTCCGCCGAACAGGACGCAACACGGTTTGTGCTGGTGCTGTAATGATAATACAGCGAGATATCAGTAAAATGATCGCCGGAGATGTACCCAGAGAATATACTAGGACTCACAGTAGATGTGTAAGCCATGATCCGACACTTGCCCATGGAGATAAAAAATGACACAGAGAAAAAGAGCGTTAATCAAGAGAGAGAAGTAAAGCGTCATGGTTCGCATGAAAGTCAGTCTTCTGCGGTCGGAGGTACCATGAAGCGATGTCGCGCTCTCGTCGTATTCATCGAACTGGTCGTTGTCTGCGCCTTGACTCGTTACAAGGAGCGAGTACATTCCAACGGTCAAATCTTTCTGCATAGTGAACTAGGCGGGAGGATTCGATGAGAGTCGAGGGAGTGATGAAGGGTCTCCGTTGGTCTTCCAGGAGGACGATCATATTGAGCTTGCTAAGTGATTCTCGCAATATGCAATTCCTGAGCTGGATCTGGAGAACATTAGAACGTCTCAGTTTCGGTCCGATATCTTCGCAGCGAGAACTATCAAGACGTGTTATTCTCTACTGCGACGGATGTGCGTTGCCTCTTTGATAAAAAGGCTCCGCGAACCACGGCACCTGGTACTCAGTAAAATTGTATCAACCACCACGCTCTTCCAAGACAAGTAATAATGATAAAACCAAGCACGACTGGCCTAGGATCAACCATCCAGGAGACGGCAAGAGGAATCGAGGAGCTCGGAAAAGTAGACGTGGAAATCGATAAGATAAGATAAGCATCCATATCGGGCAAACCCGTTCTGCTCGCCTTCGTTTCAACATCCCTCTTTTCGAGACCAACATCCATCTTCCTTTGTTGCTCGTCGGGTTATCGACGAACTCTACCGCCCGGCATCGTCTACTCCCACCCTCCAACACTTCTAGGACTCAAGGAACCATACTCGACATGGCTCCTACTTCTGCACGTCCCCTCTGAAGGCATTCGCGGAGAGCAGACAACTCCCGGGGCTAGCTCCCCATCTACTCCTCACAATCGAGTCTTGGGACCTACACCTTCTTAGACCCACTCCAATTCAACCCTTTCAACCACTGGTCATACTTCCTCGCTCGGATGCTTAGACGATCCTTCATTCTCGACCATTTTCGGAGACAGCGAGCTGAAGCCACCGATGAAAGACGACCTGGACTTTCGAATTCGGAACGGATGGCGGAATGGAAAGAGCGGCGGCTGAGGATATGGCAGTAGAGAGTCGGGGACATTGCAATGTCCGTTACGCGAGACACGGAGACATTTGTCTAATCGGGAGGGGTCGGTCATCACTCGGTGCGTCCTTTTATTACACTTTTTTTATGCGCCACTCTTTCGTACATTACTTGGTCTCGTCGACCAAATCAGGTTCTTCCACTCATGTAAGTAATTCACTCCTGGTCTGACACGTATACAACCTCCAACAGCAGTTCGCAGAGCTCTATTTGCCCTTGCCCTCCCTACGACTTCCCTATCTCACCTGACCTCGCGCCACCCACCCGCTCGCAAGCTCCCTTGCCCCATCTCTCGCCCCACTGCCTCTACATACGTCAAATTTCGACAACTTCTCTTCTCCGTCCCGATCAACCAGCAATCTCGCCGTCATCGCTGTTCCTTTCGAGCTCGCTCGTCGTCAGCTAGCTAGCGACTTCATCAACGAGGCTCACTCCGCACTGCGCTTGGCTTATACAACCTGGCCCCGTTCTTTCACTGCTCTGCTGCGCTGCGTAGGAAGACGTTTTCTCCAGTGCGTTCAATAATACCGCTGGGGGCTACTCGAGTTCAGTTTAGTGCATCATAGCCATTTCCTTGTTCGCTTCTCACGGCGAGTAAGACGCAGGCCATTCGAGCATTCGAGCTCGTTCTAGCCAACAGGAGACGAGTAGGCTGACAGAATGCATACGTGCGCTCGAGCTTATGCAGGATCTCTTCTCTGGCGATGGGAACGATTTGTGCTGGGTACAGGGTGCCTCATGCGTTGTTTTCTCACATCTTTATCATCCGCCTTTTTGGTGTATACGTCCGCCCTTGAATTTCTGCGAAGGGTATGCAATGTTACCGTCGAAGGCATGTAGTACCTTCCCAGGGGGCTACATCCATCTTCGGGTCCTCTTGTGTACATATATCTACGTTTTCAATCCGTATACCGCGTCTGATTTGTCGAGGCCAACCGCCCGGATCCATACTTTATGAATGCAGACGACGACTTGTTCGTTCCTCACTCGAAGCGGTGCATATTCAACCACCACCAGGAGTTAGGACATGCGTACTCTGCGTTGGACTCATCCGTTGACAGGAGGCACACATCGACCGTTTCGGTCTTGCTTCCGGCTACTGTCTGAGCGACTTGAAGTATTGGACACAACTGCCCAATGCGAACGCATATACCCATTTATTCTGTTTTTTTGATTCCCTACTTCCTCTCCGCCACGACTCCTTCGCCGAAAGAGACCACATATACGCGACTTCTAGCTCTCTAGCTCTACCCACGTTCTGCATCGTATACCCACCGCTCTTCGTTCCGACGCAATATACCCCCTTTCGAAGGCGTATGTACGTAGCATGACAGGTCTAGATTAAGTTTTTCCCAATCCACCACGACTCAATGTCAATGACGAACGGCTGAATGCAAACCGTCGGACAAGCGGTAGATCCGCTCCTCAATTCGCCTGCTAGTAAACCACTGCGTCACACACCCAGACGTTCACCTGGACTGCGTACATGGACCGTCAAGGGCTTCCTTCGAGGCGGCGCTCTAATGCTAGGCTGCTAAGGAGCGTCGGTGGACGTCTATGTGTGCTCCTCATAGGGCCACATATTCGTGCTTCCAATGCATGGAATACCTCGTCAGCGCCATATGTCCACCCCTGGGATGCACACCTTATCGATCTCGCTGAGAGTGCAGACATTGACTCATTCGTCGGGTTCCTTTCCTCGCTCGAAGACTCGGAGCGGTGCATAGAGTATACAACCACCATCAGCCACCATCAGAACTCAGGACACGCGTTATCATTTTCATTTGAACGCGTACTCCGCTTACCCTCATCGGCTGACGGAACGCATACACCCACCCTCGCCGTCGTTCGTTCTGTAACTTTCTCGTGTCTACGTGTATGTCGATCACCTGGACGCGTTGATGCAATCTTCGTGTCTTACACCGCATCCATCCAGGGTCCAAATTCATATACCCATTTCTTTTTCTTTTTCTTTTCTTTTATTTTTGCGCCCCCACTCACGTACAGCGAAAGTCCTAGACTCTTCCTCACGACGCCCGTCCCGATAGGTAGCTCTATCTCTCTAGCCACGATATGATTCGTGAACCCAACGTCCGTCGTTTCGACGCAATACATGTCATTTCGAAGGCGTACGTGGAAGGAACCACAGGTATCCACATAGGGTTGACCATGATGCTATACCCACCGCTCGTCTTTCCGACGCGATACCTCTTTGCGAAGGTGTACGTGTGAGGGTACTTATGATCTCGTCTACTCTACTATGGCTCATTCCCAGAATGATGTTTGGCCTATCCACGATGAGTCGATGACGACTCGAACTTGTGCTGGATCCGGTGCTCTGAATCCTTCGATTCATCTGATTATTAACCAACTGCACTACGCGATATGGCCAGACGTCCACCTAGGCCCATTGCTAGACTGTGTATCGTCGGGAACCTGTTCTGGAGCCGTTATAACCTATCCTGCTCCTCGTCTTTTCGACGCGATACGTCTCATCTCAAAGGCGTGTGTATGAGGGTATGTGCCCGTCTACTCTACTCCATGACGCATTCTCTGGACGACCTTCATCCTATCCACGATGAACGGCTGGATGAAACCGTCGTACTTGTGGTGGATCTGTTCCTCTGGATCCCTCAATTCTCCTGAACCAGGGCACTACGCAATATCCATATGGCCAGACGTTCACCTGCACCTGCGCCCCATCGCTTGACTGCGTATCGTCCAGAGCCCCATCTTGAAAGCCGTTATAACCTAACCCGCTGCTCGTCTTACCGACGCGATGCATCATCTCCTTTGAGGGTATGAACCCCTCTACGCTAGTCCGTGGCGCATTCTCAGGACGATTTTCTTCCTATCCACGATGAACGACTGGATGAAACCGTGAAAGACGTATGGTGGGTCTGTTCATCCCTCCATTTGCCTGAGCTACTGCGTGATATGGTCAGAAGTTTAACTGAGCCATTCTTCGACCACGTACCGTGGAGAACTTGTTCTGAAGCCGTTATAACCCAACCCGCTGATCGTATTTTCGATGGGAGCCATCATCTTTTTTCGAAGGCGTACGTTTGAGGGTATGAACCCCGCCTCGTCCATGGCTCATTCTCCAGACAATGTTTATCCTATTCACGATGTCGAAGGACAGAATATGTTAAACTGTCTCGAACTTGCGGTGGACCCATTCCTCTAGATCCCTCGATTCACCGCAACCGCAGGCTAACATGACCAGAAGTTCACCTGAGCCATTTGCTCCACTGCATATGGTCGAGAGCATACGTGCTAAGCCTATACGTAGCATGATACTATTGCATTCCGCCTGCTTTGTCATATCATTTTCATTCTGCTAGATAACGGGGCAGGTTCATTGAGGGCCACGAGAACATAGTTCGCCGTTGTGCTGTTGAGCGTGACACTATCCACTCCTTCTCCACAACGGAGCGAATGTGGGCGCCATTCTCCAGTACTCGAATCATCGAGAAGGCATTCTCAGAGAACCACAGTACGGATGTAGAGATCGTGGAACGTAGGGATGCGACGCGATGCAGACGATTGCGTGTAGAGTGTACGAATTGTATTGGGCCACCGAGAATGTGGCACCGAGGATATGGTCTCCCCGTATCGGAAGATACGACATAATGGAGAAGAGAAGGAGGACGAAAAGAAGATGCAAATCACGCATAAAAACGCTGAGCACCCATTTCACCTTCTTTCATAGGCCTCGAAGTATCTTCGAATTTTGACCAGAGCTCGCAATGACAGACGTCACCCATGCTTTGACAAGGACTATCGATTCAGGCACACCGCTCCACCGAACCCATCATTCACCTATCACAACCCTGTCTCGGGCACGATGCAAGGGAAGAGCTATACCGAGAGAGCACAGGAAGCTTGGGAGGTATTCGATACCGCGAAGGATACTCCTCTACGTGTTTGCTATTTTTGCATGATACTACGGTTAATGGCGAGGAAAATTTGGCAGCTGAGTCTATTGTGTAGTAGGCAGATCTACAAGTTGATGATCAGCGGGAACGTGCCACGTCCCATCGCGTCCCTCAGCCAGGACGTTATTGGGCACCTAGCTCCGTGTAGGTGTTTATTTCTACTTTTGTTCCCGTCATTTATGTCACCGAATCCTGCATTATCTCGTGGAACACCCATGGCTGGTCCGACCAAGTCTCGCCCAACTCACAGGTGCGTGTAAGTACTCAGCTCTCCCTTTTGCTCCAATTTTTGAGTTTGAACTTATACTTATTTGGATGGATAGTGGTCAGCCTCGTCCTCAACTCCTCGGCAACATGCTGTACGATCATGCCCTCACCTTCTCTGCTGAATTCGCCTTCGTTTGCCTTCCCATACGCAAAACGTGTCGACCGGTCTCATGGGCCTACCCCAAGCTGAGATGAAACGAAGGCCAATCACGACCGCGGAAGACGGAGGAGGGTATGATGGATGAATGGGATGTCGTCTCTGGCGATAGGAACGATGTGTGCTGTTTACACGGTCTGTCGTGCGGTATTCTCTCATCTCTTTTGTCACTGTCTTCTTGCTGTATACGTACGTCCCTGGATCTGAGCGAGGTATGGAATGGTGCGGTCGAAGGCATGTATTTGATACGTCCATGCTTAAAACACACATCGACTTCTTCGGCTTACTTATGTCCATGTTTGAACGTGTTCACCGCCTATGAATTGTCGGCGCCCCACATCCACCCCCTGGATCCATACCTTATCCCTCTCGCTAGAAGTCCAGACGACGACTTGTTCGTCGGTTTCCTTTCCTCGCTCGAAGTGGTGCATCTATCATCAGGATACGCCTTGTCATCTGAACGCTTATGTACTCTGTGTGAGCCTTATTACTCGTTGCCGGAACGCACACACGCACCCTTGCCATCGTTCGTTCGGCCGCTTCCTCGTGTACATATGCGTGTCGACCACTTGAACGCATACTGCATATTCGTGCCTTACAGCAATCACGACGCCCGCACCGACGGAGATCGCACATATGTACCTCTACCTCTAGCTCTAGCTCTAACCACGATCGGAGTCTTATCCCCATCGCTCGACTTTTCAACGAAATGCACCTGCATCTTCTTGCGAGCACGTCCGTTCGCCCCCGAATGAGGGTATGAGCCCGTCTAGTCCATGGCTCACGACGAACATCGTCCTGTTCACTCTGAGTCGATAACGAACGACTGGAGGAAAACCGTCGACGAAGCAGTAGATCTGTTCCTTCATGAATTCGTCTGGCAGTCTCATGATGCACAACGCAAGATGGCTAGACGTTCTCGCTGAGCTATCCTTCTCGACTGCGTACCGCTGCAGCCGCAGGACAGTATTGTATCCCGCCTGCGCATGTATTGCAGGGAACATTGGCCATCAGCCTCGTTCTGCTGAACATGATTCAGAAGCATGGCTTGCCGTTCTGTTGATGAGCGTCTCAGTGCAGGCATCGTGTCGCGCGTTGTCGGGAGTCGAAAATGAAGCAGATCTAAGCATCATACCAGACAGTACTGAATTGTCGAAGCATCGACGCTCTCTGCAAGGCATTACTACAGGACCATGATACAGAGATGTAAGAATTGTGGCGAGGATACGGTTCTCTCGTGTGGAGCTAGCGGCTCGCAATATTTGGAATCCCCCATGAATACTACCCTGAAAATGTATCGATGGCGTCGAAGTCAAGTCCCTTAAGTACGATGCCTCGATCATAATCAAACGTACGAGTGCATGCGATGAGAGACGAAGTCCTCGATGATTACGAAGTAACGTATACCTTCATGATACTCAAACAATCAAATCGGGGACTGTTGTATATACAAGTTGAGCCGCCAGTGACGTTGATACGAGGTTGAGCAGCAGAGAATCGTCATCCCCTCCATTCCACCTGTCGTCAGCACATCACGCATCTACCAACTTCACAAACTGTTGCCCAGGCTGTGAGCCCTTTCCCGTATGCCCGTATACGAGCGACCCCCTCTCAGTCTCCTCTATAAGAAACATCTGAACCGCCACAATGATGTCTGAACTGTTCAGCCCCGAGTTTTTCGCCTTGCTGCGGGCTACCAAAGGTTTCCTCACTTGCTTCAATGGAACGAGCACCAGACCTTCCTGTCTATAGGACCTCAAGATGTCGAGAACTATCGTGAGGTGGCTAGCGCTGTTGAAAATCAAATGGGGGTTGGCGAGCTTTTCCAGATGCTTCGTCGAATGTGACGCGTCCCTCTTGAGGTACGCCACAGTGATGGGAGTAAGGGTTTGAGTTTCTGCGGGGAAGGCCTTGGTGATAGTTGTTGGGACCGCGATGGACGGTACGGGAGATGCAACCGAGGCATTGCCAAGCGAAGGGGTCTACAGTGATAAATTATTAACGCCGTCGTGATAGTCAATGATCCAGCGACACTTACAATGGAAGACCTGTTCCCGCTGTGAAACGCGGTCTGAATATCACTCGTACTGGGGTACTAGACGAAAATGGTAGATAAATACTCCGAGGTGAAGTACAGTATTCAGAATTATGTGACCGGGAAACGCTTACGCTTTGACGAACGGAAGGCCTTCTCACTTCTGGCTGAACATGGTCATCACCAGGTTTCGCCTGCTCCGATGACGATATTTCCGACAGAACGGGTTCCGCCATCGTGACAACCGCACTCCTCGTCACATTCTGCACAGCGATGCGCCCGATTCGAGTATGCATGGTTTCATCGCGGACAGCAAGCATAGAGTGACCGCCATCGAGAGTGATGCGCTGCCGAGACTGGACGAGCAAGTAGTCCTGTCCGAAGGTCACCACCCTAGTCGAGGAGTCAGTGGGAGAAGGCTTGGTCCTGAGACCGGATGGAGCAAATATTATGCCTTCGCCCGTTCGAAGATCGATGAGCTGCACGAGCGTACAAAATATCAGTGCCGGATTCGACTGAGAATGTGATCAAGTCGAGCTGACCTTGGAGAATATTTCATCTCTAACGGCCTGAGCAGCTGATACGTGCTCGGATAGATGTGCGAGCCATTTGGGAGACGAGAAGCGGTGCGCGATGATGAACGAGCTCAGCTCCAAGAACTTGGAAGGTACTACCGTGGGCTCTTGGGTCGAAATGATGACTCGAGCATTCAGATGTCTTTGCTGCCTGATGATGCTAAGTAAGGAGTCGGTGAGGCGAGAGGAGTGGCCTGAGTCGCTAAGGTACTGTATATTCAAAATAATCATTAGGTCGGATGGCTACTTGCAGCATGACCTCATGTACCTTGTGCGCCTCGTCCAACACTGTTATAACAGTTCTTTTAGTGTGAGAACCTCGATCTGAAGGGACGTCCAACTGACCTACGATTTTTCCGGTGTCAACTTCGGCCTCGATGAACAAGCTGAGAATGATATCGAAAAAACCACATGCCGACGACGCGTCGATGAATGGAGAAGACAGACTATAAATGACCGCTTCCTCTCAGCAAGGCGCGTGCTAAAGGAAAATACGCATCACACTTACTCCACGATCGTCAAAGCCCCCTGCCGGAAGTGTGTCGATACACAGTTGTTCGCGTTCCCCCCTCTCAGACAGGAGTCGAGCAGGGCCAGACGAAGGTTAAGCATGGCCTTCTGCGACCCATTTATCTTCTGCTTCGCAAGCATCGCTCGAAACTCGTTATAGTCGAAGACTTCCATGTCGCGGAGGAGGGTCATGACGAGCTCCATGTAGAGCGGCATTTCTGATGAACGGAAACACTCGATAAGTGAACAGAAGATGGAATCAATGGGAAAACTCACGATCACCATCGTCCACCTTCATCATTGCCAGTAACCGTTCTCCACTGATGTCTCTAGAGGCGAAGCGTAAAGCCTCCACTTTCACTCCCGGTAAGTTGGCATAAACCGACTTCATTGCTTCCACGCGGTTAGGCCTTCTCGATAACTGTTCGTCAGCGGTGGACAGCGTGGAAGAGGACACGAGGAACACACAAGGTGAGGACAGTAACGTCTGGGGCAGTCGCCGTCCCTCCACGAGTCGCATCCATCACAGCCAAGTACGCCGCTTCACATGGTTGAACGAATCCACTGCCTGCAGCAGAGTCAAAGTGAAAGCTACACAGGGAGAGAGAACGGCGGGTTGGTCCAAAATGGCACTGGAGTTGAACAGAGTGAAGTAACGCACAGCAGGCCGCATAGCGGCACGGGAAGCGTCCCGAGACGTCGATCCTGAATCAAACAGCCTTCGAGAAGAACAGCCGTCGAGTGACTTTTGCCAGAGCCCTATCCCGGAGACGATTTCATACATCAATTGAGCTTGATTAAGCTCCAAAGAGAAAATCGATACACGCACCTGCAGACCACATACGACGGCGCTGAAAGGGGCGTTTGTGTTCACGTACAGTTTCGTGAGTGGCGAAGGCTCCTTAGGTGAATGAAGAACGTTTCCGTAGACTGCGCGCTGAGGAAGGACGGTCGTACCAATGACATTCAAGGCTTCGTTTGTGAAGAGCGGAGCGGTTCGCATGCTATGGCTTCCCGCCAAGTCTGTGTCGTGTTGAGATGAGCTCACATAGCGAAACAAGAGTTCAGCCTCCGGACTGAGGTCAACGGTAGCGTTGGTGGAGTATGGCATGGCGAATTATGTGCTAGTTACAGAGGCTAGTCAAGAGTCGAAAAAGAGACAACGGTCGGGATCCCAGCTCAGGCTCGTAAAGCATTCTTCTGACGTCAAAGCGAACCAAGTAGAGCACTGGTACGCATGGCACGCCACATAAATATGACGCCGCGGCAGTTGAGTAAGCGAGATATGATTGGAAGATGAAGCAAGATAAAAGACGACCGGAGGGATTGAAATGACCAGACGACAGGGTGCGAGTGAGAGCTTGAAAGAAACGTGAAGGGTACGAAGCCGGCAGTAGGAAAAAAATACTCAAACAAGAATTGAATACTCAGTAACGTGCAGAGACGGCGAGGCCGGGCCGCAAAGCTATTGGCCTCCGGATCATTTGCAATCGGGAGCTGCTCAACCGTTCGCGGTCTCAACAGTCTGCTACCACTGGCCACGTCTTATACCTCTTCATACTACCGCGTCATCGTCCCATTCCCACTTCATCGTATTCTCTCGAGGTCAAATCCCTATCGGATACAAAACAAAACAGAATGACCGCGACACGTTGATCAAACCGGCGAGGCCCGCCACATCACACTCAACAGCGCCCAGCTATCACTCAGCAAGCCATCGGTCTCTTTCGAAGAATGGGAATCGAAAGCGCGTCTCGGAGACCTAGAGGAATTGAGCGTGGTGGATGTCAAGGCCGTGCTCGCGAGACCTTCGTTACCGTCCAAGGTCCGTCTCGCCACACCTCTCTCTCCGCTATGACCAACAGGCGATGATGGGCAGTTTAAAGTCGAAGAAGCCAATTCGAGGGTACCCGAGCTTCTCCCCCTCGTTGAACACGGAGCCCCATCCTCTACAACATCCATCTCAACCTCTGCCTGCTTCACTGGCCTCACCTCGCCCACCACCACGCCTTCCTACGCCCACGTCCAACCCACCGTGCCCATATAAACAGTACAACAATCCTACGACTGGTTTACTATCGTCCGCTGCGCAAAGCCAAGAGTTGCATTTGAGGAAATATTTGAAGGGTGGGGAGCATGTGTCGGGGATTTGTGAGATGCTGGCGATGAGGGTCGCGGAGATACGTAGATGCGGAGGTTGAGGGGATGTTGCTTGAGTGGAGTAGTGAAGAGGAAGAAGGGAGGTGTTTTTAAGGAAACCTCTCAGGGTTGTGGAAGGTGAAGGTCAGTTCGCTTCTTCTTTGGCTTCGCTTGTGTGCGGAGAGCTTATGTCCACGTACACTGGCGTAGGACCGGTTGGTGGAGCTACAAGACGAGCATGTATTGGAATTGGAACACGCGACGAGGATGTTGAACCATTCGGACGAGTCACTCGTCCTGCAGATTGACTTCCCGTACATGCTCGAACTCGTCGACTTTTGTATCGATTTTCTGAAGGCCCACGTATGTCACCTCCAATCTCTGCTTCCTATTATCCGCATTCAACTAGTCCTCTATAACCGCTGTGTGTATTCTCGCGCCAGTTCCGCGAAGCAGAGCTTGACCTCCTCCACTTCCAACAATGTATGACTCGCACAATGACGCTTGCCGGAACATTATTCGTCGGGTCTTTTGTGCGCTCCTGCGGGACATTTCACGGAGTTTATCGCGGAAGGTACGTTATCTCTACCTCAAATCCCTACGTCCATTATATCTGTGCCACACTACTTTACGCCACGCCACACCAACTTCTTCCGCTCCCCTTTTTTTCTCTCCCTCCTCTTCCTCGCCATATTATACCCTGGGAGTAACTGACCATATACCCTAATCCACAAGACATCCCATCGATAACACAACAACATCTCCCGCTCCGAGCCCGTCCCACATCAACTAGCTCGGCTCGGCTTGGAGCTTGAGTGACGAGCGGCATCGCATCCGGATCAATTAGCTGTACCGTTGCACGTACGTCGCCCTCTTGCTTTTTCTCCGTTTTCTAAATATTCTATATCATCCATATCCTACGTCGAGAAGTTCTTTTCGTTTTACTTTCACCTCTGTTCGACACACGGTTTGTGATCTGGACATCGCTCTCGCTCTCCTTCTCCTTTCTGTGCTCTTCGTTTCCACGCGCATTTAACGTTAAATGTACGCACGCTGATGCTGACTTCACCTTCATTTGTGGCTGCTATACAGGAATGTCGTGCGGCGTTGTTCACGGTGAGGGGATATCGTGGCGAGAAGGTCAGTTGGAGAGGTGAAGGTGTTGAGGGTAGGGCGAGGGAACCTCGTCAAGGTGGTACGTCTTCATTTCACCCCTTCCGTTGTCATTTTTCGTTCTATCCTTCACCCTTCCCAATTCACAAATATCATATGTCTTATCCATGATACACGAGATCTTGTACTGTGCTGTTTGAGGTAGAGAAGGCTGATCTCGTGTTGCTTTTTGCATATACCCGCATTGCTCCCCTTGGAACGCTTCTCGAAAACCCAAATGACCGCACCCACGCTCACGAACACCTCGTCGACGAATACATCAACGCATGAACAAACGAAACGACCCATGGACGGATGGATGGGAACAGACACGGGCGAAATGCAGCTATCTCGAGCAGCTCAGCACGGACGAGCGGGAGTTGTATCGGTGCTTTTTCGATTTGGTGGAAGAGGGACTCTAGTGCGTTTAAGTTATTTTTTTTCGTACCTTTGTGGCCCTCGTTTTCACCGCCCTCTCGTTCTTTTGACGTATTTCTTAATTGTTTCGTTCCTCAGTATTCATTCCTTCGGTCGCTAACAACCTTCCCTGTCCTTTGGCTCTCCTTCCGTGATGTCCAGCGAATCAGCTCTGCGTGCCTCCACCACACCACCCGAACCGACGGACTCCCGAAATCCACGAACGCACTTACGAACTAATCTACCATGCGCCCAACCGATACACTCAAAACAGTGCACTCAAACAAACACGCCCCACCTATTGATCAACGCACCCATGATCACAAAAAAGAACGCACTCACTTATTAGCCCAACCAAGACCGAAACGAAAGACCCACAGCGGCGCCGACCTCAAATCCCTCTGCGACTACCTCCACGGCAATCTCCGTCCTCGAATCCAACACGCACAGAGGCTCGGAGCCCCGGCTGAGGTATGCGCGGTCTTATAAGCACTCAGGGTAGTCGGCGGGCCTCCGATCATTCGCTAGAG